AGAATTTTCTTTTTGCACAGGAAGCTCAGAGGTCAAGTTAAGCTATGGAACGGTGCCTCTGGAGCTGGCGGGAGTTCAGCCTCGCTGTTGTTCAGTGACGCATTCATCAGGTTGGATGCTCGCTGACATGAAGGACTGATGCCAGGTTTTCTGAGTAAAGGTCTGTCTCCTACTCACTATGCCAACCCTCCAGCTAGTTTTGTTTTGCCAAACGGGGTCATATTTATCTAATAGGGCAGTACAATGAGAGAGTCACACAATCAAAGGAAATCAACTCAGGCTTATCTGACACTATCTCAATTGTCTTCAAGTAGAAAAACACAAACGTTTAGTTCTCTATTCAGGTTTAAACAAAGACTTTCATCACTTACTGAGGCTGTTCGGCCCTGGTCTGTGCCAAGATATGGAGAGGTGTAATCCTGCTCCTTCAGCCAAGATGTCATCCAGCCAGGCCAGCAATGAAAGTTTTGCAGGCCACTGGATTCAAAACACTCAGTTAAGACTAATACACACATGCTATATGATGTGGTTTGTGTGTCTTGCCAACATGGAAAATATGTTTAAATATGTAAAGGCAGGTGGATAGATGTGCTGAATTAATAGGGAACATTATATTGCAACTTTTAGCATATATTCTAGTATATTTGTTGGTGATTTGAGAGTTCATACTGGGAGAGGTGGAGTAAAGTGACATGAGGATTTTCCATAAGCGGAATGTGAGTGACCTCCAGTGGTAAATAGCAGCAGTACACTTGAAATTATTGGAGTGAGAGATGATCACTAGGTGGCGCCATAGGTATGAGAATGAAATGTGTCAGGGTGTGAGATCCCTTTGGGAAGACACACACACACACACAAACACTAATTACTGAAGCACACATGTTTAACATACAACCATAACATGCTGCACAGCTCCCTGGGGCTTTGTGTAAAACCAGTGCTCTCTTCTCTCAGTCCAGTTTGAATCATCAAAGGCAAAGACGACAGCGCGCCAGGTTGGAGGAAGTTTACATACTGTCAATATTTCAAAAGTTAAAAGGGTCAAAGATCAGACGTTTTGTCTCTGCTTCTCCAGGATATTTATGTCAGGTACAGACATAGGTACTGAACACTTGAGCAGCAGTCTGTGTTTATTTAAATATATCTGATTGTTATATAAGGTGTGAATTTTTATCAAAACATTTACATTTAGTAAATTTCAGAAAAACTTGCGACATTCAGGTGTGTGTGTGTGTGTGTGTGTGTGTGTGTGTGTGTGTGGCTGAGAATGGGGGTGTGACTGCTGTTATCAAGCTGATCATCCAGGTGATGTGTCACTAGGACGCAGACACCTGGGTGTGTCTGCGTCCTCACTGGTGGTTAGAACTCTAATTCCCTTCTCCAGTTACTTCCTCCACTACTCTTGCGTGCACACAACCCCACAAAGAATCTTTCAACGCACTTATTTTGAAAAAGCTGCCACTTTATTGATTTTGTTGGCTGCTATCAGGAAAAATCTGAGAAAAGTGGCTGCTGTTTAAGCAACCACAACAAAAGCCTAGAGTGGTTTATTCAACCTGGCTTATATTGCAGTATAATCAATAATAATTAAATGCAAGTAGCAAGTCATTCATTTTAATTTCCTATAATTAACCCAGTTTAGTGTGGGTGTTTCCAGGACATAACGTAACAGGTTTAGCTGGTTTATCTGTAGATGCCAGATGTCTGAGTTTGACAGGCATGTGTCTTGTCTGACAGCGAGCTGGTTGGGTTGTAGGAAGCAGATAAAGGGCTCATTGATATGGGAGTGTGTGTGTGTGTGTGAGTGTGTGTGTGAGACAGCAGAGACGCGTGGCTTTTCTGGCGTCAAACCGGTCTCGGGAGGAGGCTGAGGAGCTGCTTGTTTACGTGAACCAGAAACAGTATTTGTTTGTTTTGGGGAAGAAAAGTGCATAGTGACACGCTTCCCTTTGTCAGTTCAATTGACAGGCTTTCCATAATGGTGACAATCAACTATCTCAGAGTGGAAACGGCAACGAACATTATGAGCCTGTTTATGTGGATTTTTGTTGGCTATACAATGATTGCACATAGATATAACTGTGCACTCTGAACACCACCAGTGTTTTTACTAAATCTACAGATTTGGTTTCTCTTGTTTATCCATGTTTTTTGGGATGTGAGACCACAGTGAAGGACTTAAAGATGAGTCTGTGTCACGCCTGTCCCAGCAGCATTAGATGTACTATACTTTACTGAGGCTCCAGATCCTCTTAATACATCCCGACTGTCAAAACTCTAATACCACATCTCTATCTGTCTGACATTTCCAACATCACATGGGCAGCAAAAGTTTCAGGCAACAAATGGAGAGTCGGGGAACGTTGGATGGAGGTTTGAGGTCTGAAAAAGTTACAAATGAATCATTAGTCCTCCAACATTACACATTGAACATTAAAGTAAACTCAGTATTTCTATTTCTCTCTATCTCTTTACAAAGAAGGGAGTGTATTTAGCAGTTTTGCACAATAATGGGTAGGGAGTCATGTAAAAGCTATTTGTCCTTTGGCCACCCTTAATGAGTCACACTGGCTTTGCTTTCTGATCTCTTCCATATGACATTTTCTACTTAACTGTAACTGTGATTTCATATGAATAGCGACACACACTTTCAGGTGTGTCCTGCCATTCTTGTTGTTTATGAAACCAACAAACTGACAAACACAAAAGCACTGCTGCTCATATCTAAATGAGAATTTAGAGCAACGAATAAACAAGACAAGGAGGAGCTGCAGCAACACAAAGGAAGATCAAGAGGAGTGGGAACTATCAACCACACCGATATGATTCCTGCACCTCCCTACCCTTTCTACTCTGTCTTACTGAAGGTTACCTTGATATATGATTGATGTCTGGAAGCCAAAATCCATTTTTATTATCATCTGTCACTGAAAGGCCTTTCATGTGTTTCTCCTGGGATGATATTTATCTGTAGCTTGGATTCCCAAGGAAGAACAAAAAAAGACTTTTTCTCTGAGATGTAAATGTAGTCCAGGAATAGACTAGACATTTTAATCTCAGATTAAGATACCTGACAGGTTATTTTGATGAGATGGTGCTTTACAAATAGCACAGGCAGATAAATCACACTTGGTGTGTCTGCACAACATCAAATCTCTAACCAATAAGATGCAATTCACTTTTGACCATAACTTTTACAGTTATTTTTGTATACTTCTTATTTTTAGATGGTTGCAACATCTTGGAATGACAAGACTATGTTTCGTTGTATGCAGGTATAAATAAAGTATGTAAGTATAATGACAATAAAGTTGGACTGAATTAAATTGAATGAACCAAATGAGCTTTGCTCAGTTTACCTTCACAGGCAGACCATTTTCTCACCTCTTTCACCCTATCTCAGCCACAGACTGATCCCAACCACACTCCAATTTCGCTGTCTAAAAAGTGTCTAAGACCTGAATAATTTAGCGTGTGACCCCTTTAAACAGAACAAAATGTCTCCTTGTAACACATTGTCACGGGCTTTCCACCAATTTTGACCACTTCAGCCAAAGAGCTATTTGTTTTCCTTGTTTTATCTGAATAGTTTTCAGCCCAAAGAGTTTAAATTATCCAGTAAGTCACGAGAAAACAAGACTAAGAGTGAGCCTGCACAGCACTGATTTAAGATAAATGCTAATACAACCATGCTATCATGCTGATGCTAATCAGGTGTAAAGTTAACCATCATCACCATCTTAGTTTAGTGTGTTAGCATGCTAATATTTGGTTAATCGCACTACACACAAGTACAGATGATGGGAATGTCATGTCAAGTCTATTGTCCTAAAGTTTTGGACAAACTGAATATTTTACTTGATGATGGCCCTAGAGGAAATGTTACGTTATCACTATAAGTGATAATAATTCATTCAGATGTACTCTTTTAAGACTTGTCTTAACACTTAAGTGTTGAGACACTGAACTCAAACCCACAAATGGTGGTGTTGGAGGAAAAGTCAGGGTATCACTGAGGTCATTATGATTCATCCTCTGGAAAATATGAATGTCTCAACAACATTGTATGCAAATTCAATTCATCAAGTAGCTGTTCTTTCATTCTGGACCAAAGTGGTGGACTGACAGACCACAGAGGGAAACATGATAAAATGAACATACCAGAAATAAAAAAAACTTTCCCGCTTCTCTGTTTTAATCATCAAAGCCCCTCAGATTTACAGGACTCTTGACCCCCAGGTTAGAAAGGTGGATACGCTGTCATGAGTGCATTTAGACAACACCTGCACTCAACCTACACAATCACAGTCTTTATCAAATCCAGGAATCATGTAAAATAAGAGGGTAATGTGTCATGGATGACTTGAAGGTGCAGACATCAGCACACATCTTATCAAAACAGGAGCATTTTATTTCATCTACACTTTAACTGAATGAAATGAAAATACCCCAATCTACCACTCCAGAGGTAGAACGAGCTTGTGATGTTGACCCTGATTAAACCGACGTAGCATTACGGAAATCACACACCAACCATGACAGTTTGTTAATCATGTGTCAAGCTGTATGCACTGCAGGTACCTGGCAGTTTGACAAATGGCCCTTGGGCTGTATCTGTCATGACACGGCTGTCCTATTTATGGGTGTTTTGTCGTGCTGCGGGTAATATATTATAACAACAGAGGTATTGTCTGGAAACTGGGTGTTGTCCTCACACAGAAACATGAGGAAAGGTGTTATGGATAATGGCCAAATCCATTTTGTCTTGGAATGCCTACATAGGACATGCCATGTATTTATGGTTTTTGACAACAACACTGTTCTTAGACACTCCAGGTGGATCTGAACTAGTCCTGAGGCATCAACCTCCCACCAACAACTTCCAGCTCACACAGTTCGCTCGGCCTCCTCTTACATACAATGTACCAGTTCATCTACCTATGTTTGTGAAATGTGAAAGGCATACTGTAAATAAACACAAGGACAGATGAGGAGAGGAAGAGGTTGAAGTACAAAGTTTTATTTGAATTATGAATGAAATGTGAAAGAACCCACTGACAAGTTATTCTTTGTGTTAGTTTAGTAAAATAATTTGATTTGCTGTGTTCCCAAGCATGGTGTAACATGCAAAGATCGATCAAAACCAATATGTAGACATTACAGTGACAGAAAAGCTGAATGATCCCTAATAAATAGGTAATAGTGAGTAGTAAATTGGTGAAATTTTCCTCCCATTAGTAGGTTATAAATGTTAAATTCTGTGGTGCTGGTTCAGCCTCTGCATGCTTTTGGCTACCATGCATCTATTTATCACATTATGTGCAACACAGTCAACTTGTGACACTCCCATTTGTCAGGGATGGTGTCTCACAAGTGGCACTTAAACAGCAACATTGACAATCACTTCCAAACACAATGTACAAAAGTTACAAAATAAATACCCTTCTTTTTTAAAATCATTTTCTTGTTGTTTTGCAGTAAAATAGGCTCACAAAGTCATTTTAAACATCATCTGTGGCACATTTCATTAATTTTAAGATGAGTTATCCTTGTTATTTCCTGGAATTTAAAGGAAAAAAAACCCCCAGCAGTGTTGAAACATAATTCATGCAGCAAGTGTGAGTAAAAGGTCATTACATTGAGTTTGGTGTAACAAGTTTGCATCAAACTGGGGAGAGGACGCTCTCTGCACACAAAGAGCTGCTGTCTGAAGAACCAACGTTGCTTCGTAAGACACTGCAGCCAACAATTTTCATTTCAGTGGTGGGGAATCAGAGCTGTAGGTGCAGAGAGTCTCGTGCTGTAGCCCTTATCCAGCCTCTCTTTCTCTTCTAGCTCTGCTGGTTCACTAATGATGGTGAATTTCATTTCACTGCTCATTAAAAGAACATCTTTGCAGCCGGTCGTGCCATCTGACGCTGCTTGGGAGACGATATCCCCGGGAATGAAATTAAGAGAAATTCAAACTGACCTGTGCTCATCAGACCTGCAAATAAGAGATACAGAGAGATTTATTTCTAACTTGCTTTGGCAATGTAAACGTCTGTTTCTCATGCCAATAAAGCACCTCTGAATTAAATGGAGAAAAAGAGTGGGGAAATATTTAGGCAAACAGTATGTGCCAGCAATGTGTCTCTGATTTTTAGACTCTGCTACCTACCTACTGTATATGAGGTCTGGGCTTTTTCAAACACAGCTCAAAGTATTTACATATTAACAACACTGGTATTAAGTGTTCGTGCAGGAATATGGAATGAAGACTTGAAATAAAACCCCTGACGTTGTTTTCACCTTGTCTTGTGCTTTGAAATGAGGTCAAAGGGCTTTAATGAAGGCTTTTAATGTGCAAAGTGTGCAGCTATGTCCTTCTCCTTTCATGTCTTTGATCAGTGCCACTGACTAGAAAGCTTAGCTCTTCAAGCGAACCACAGCAGCATGTGCAGTATCTCACACCCTGACATCACAGGCCTGTTAGATTCAATCAAATGTCCTGTTATGCAAGTGTGCCAAAGGATCGCTTCCTATGGAGGAATTGCTCGACTATACGTGCATATAAGCGTACGGTGTATGCTTGAGATGCTATTTTGTCATACAGTAATACAACACAAAACCCCAGTCTGAGCCAGAGGGTATGGGGAAATAATTGGGAGCTTGAGAGTGCTTCATACTGTAAATCTCTGGGGGGATCTCTAACTCTTTTCTCCCTCCTTCTGCAGTAAGGTCAGACTTGAGTGTTTAATTAATGCTGCCCTCTGACAGGAGAACCACAGTGAGATGCATCAAGAGGACGATGATAAGGAAAATAAACAGTGTAATACTGAATTGAATGATAATGCCCAAACTAGTCTCAAGACAAAGTTGTCAGCCTGATTTCTAAAAATGAAGCATTTGTGTTTGTTTTAATATATTCCATGGTTGGGCTTCTCTCATAAATGAAATCTGCTGTTGGATTGTTAATTTGTCTGTGGTGATTCAGTATATCTGTGAATCAGACTACAGCAGATGTTTACCTTTGGGGATCTCGAACAAAAACTTCAGGGAATCTTGTCGAGGAATGGTGCCAGACAGATAACCATACACACAGGTGGATAGCACAAGAACGTGATGCATGGAGGTGGATTGTAAGGTATGCATTGGACACCAACAGGCGTGAGCTCACGGAATGATGGATGGATGGAAACTGTAAGATAACAATGTGCTCAGTGTGTGTATCATAGACTAAAACATGGTGACCACGCACTCTTAACTCCACGATCTATTTCCTTAAGTACTTGTTTGGCAAAGTGCCTGTGTAGGGGATGTGTTGGCAAGATACAAAAATGATTTACCTAGGATGCTTTTGGCGAATGCGGTGCCCCACAGTCTTTCATTCTGTGTTATAGTCTCATGCAAGGGTGTCACTCAGCAGTGGATTCAGGCTAAGCTGAGACACAGTCAGTGTTTTCCTTCAAATCCGCTTGTGTCAAACAAGGTCCAGCAGACACAGCTGCGGCCTTCACTGCTGCAGCTCTTCATACTGAGAAACAGCCAATCAAAGAGCTCCTCTGGCCTGCTGCTTCTTGACAGGTTGAAGTGTCAAATTCCATAATGGCATCCATTAACTTTCCCAAAGCGCTTTAAAACTGGCATTTAAAGTGCATTAAAATCATTAATACTGTCACATTTCATATAAACTATTCATATTAACAATTTCATATTAACAATTGGTGAAATAATCACTATTTAATATTTCTTCATTTATGTAAAGGTTAAACAACATTAATTCTTTGTTTATTCTTTAATATCTTATGAATTTGTAGGAATTGCAGACAAAATTGAAACGTTACAACCAAGGCCAACATAAGGCAAGTTTTACCATTTATGATGGATTATGAGCCTCAGCTGCAAATGTAAATTAGGGCTAAGAACAGTAATGTTTATTTGTTTTTGCAAGTATTTTGATAATAATTAAAAGTATATCTGCATTTTACATAGTTATTACAAAATTGTGGCAGTTAAAGTTTATTGAATTTTAACCCCACATATGTCATGTAATTTTCATATAGAAACAATGTTATAAATGAAGAAATCTTTAATTTGGTTATTTACTTAACTCCAAATAATTTTTAATAGTGATTAGTTCACCATTTTTAATTGATGACTCATTTAAAGTGGTGTGTGCCATCATGAGTTACTGTGCATTGTTTTGTGTTTGTTGGTAATTGCAATTGGTTAGGTCTGTATTAAAAGTGAATACACTGCAATCCAAATTCCCTCGCTCACCACGTCCATGTCCCTCAATATTTATACTGTGTGAATGTCATGTTTAAAAATGCATAGGCCATCTGTGCACTTGTCAGTGCAAACAAACTTTGGCTAGCTGCCCGCCAGTTGAAATTAAGCCAAATATGGCCGCCACAAGCCTTCACGTGTAATTCTATGAAGTGATCAGAGGTCTTTCAGCAGCTGAGATCTCAGCCCTGATACTAAGTTCAGACCACAGACTGACTGCACACATCCTTCTGGGCAGTATTGAACTGAGGTAGATTACACTTTTATTCCATTTCATGCTCGATTCTTACTTTATGTACTGGGAAATTTGGGATTTAAGGTTGACTAACGGGTCAGAGGTTCAAAAAGCAGGTATCATTGTGGACTAAAAAGAAAATCCAAAGTAAACAATGTAGATAAGAATCTCTCATTGCTTTAGTCCCCAACAATGAGTTTTATGAGAGGCACTTCAGCACCAGGTACAAACACAACAGTCCTCCCACCACAGGGGGAGCTACAACTCTCTACACAGAGCTCTCATCCGGCCTGGGCAGCAGCTGAGTGTGTTTCCTCTTCTCTAAGATCCTGTTGAGCTCCTCAGCAAAGGAGTAGCAGAGCGGCGACGTGTTTTCAGAGTCGCTCTGCCTCAGCAGCACGTAGCTGTTGCCATTCATCCTCCTAAGGACGCTGGGCAACGTGGCCGACAGCCCATTGGGGAAGTCACACATTGGAGAGGAAAGTTGCGGAGTCGGTGGGAGAGGAGGAGCTGGGGGAGGAGGCTCCTTATTGGGTGATGGGTGACCCTCACCAGGGACAATCTGGAGGAAGCCTCCGTCCTGGATGTCACTGTTATGCTGCTTTGAAACTCCATTACAAATGCCATTGCTGTTACAGTGGCTCGAGATTGTCTTCAGCTCCATGTGGGAGGAGTTTCTGTGCTGTTTTCTGTTCCCGTTGTGCCTCTTACTGTTTGGGTAGGCAGCAGCTGCAGCGCGTAATGAGTACTTCCCTCTGTTGCCCACTCTCAGGCAGAAGCCCACATAGACCAGGACCACAGTGAGGACTACACACAGACCTCCTAGGATGGTGATGAGGGACAGGTACATGGCCTCCATGTTCCTGGGGGAGAGCAGCTCTGAGTGGGGGAGAAGGGGGGCAGGGGGCGGTGGCAGGTGCCTCTCGGAGGAGGGACGCTCAGCGGGTGCCGGCAGGGTGGCGAAAAGAGTGTAAGTGTCTTCAGTTGGCTCAACAGGCGGGGGAGGTGGCAGGTCCAGGTGGATGGTGACATTGTAGGTAACCATGGCAACTTTGATAGTGTTCTCAACAGCATAGCAGGTGTATAGCCCGCTCTGGTCCTGCCGGGCCTCGATGATCAGCAGACCGTCAGTGCCGGATCTGAAGCCAGAGTTGAGGCCGTAGCCCTGCAGCTCGCTGCCATCCAAAGTCCAGAGGGGCATCGCCAGGTTGGAGCTGAGTTCACACTGTAGCAGCACGTCATCACCCACCCGCACAGAGCGGCTCCGCACGACAATGTCTGAAACAGGCATAGCAATAGTGAGAAAGTCTAACAAAGTTTACAGGAAAACTCACAAGTTAGCCTCTGACTCATTTTATATGTTAATTGCTTAAATTTATCAAACACTGTCCAAAGTTGTTGAGGCATAAGCTCAAATTATATATCTTTTAATTCCTGCCATCATATTGTCTTCTACAGAGAAAGAACAATGGAGGGTGGGGGAGAAGATGTAACATTTTATCAGATTGAAATTGTGAGGAGTGAGAAGGCATTTGCCTGCCTTTGAATATCAAACAGATTTCTCTCCAGAGATGGCAAAAATGTGATTAAAGAAGGGTGGGGAGGATTTTGCTAACGCAGTGTGCATTAGCTACTTTCAAAGAAGCCGTCATGCCATCTGATGACAACTATGCATCTTTCAAGTCCTTCCTAACATTCTATATTTTTAGCCTCTCTTTCTTCAATCCCTGCGTTGAGAGCAAACTTTCTTTTTTTTAAAGCAGCACGTGAGAATTCTGCATACCATCTTGTGTGTTCTCACATCCCCAGCTGCCATGCGGAATGTCCTGTATTAAAGTGGATCTATGAAGAGAAAAGAAACATAACAGTATGCATATTAGTGTAAAGAATAAACACATATACTGACATTTTTATTTCTTCCTGTTTCTATTTTTCTTTTGCATTCTGTTCCATTCATACATCTTAAATCAGTCATTGCCTCCATAACAGCTTTCTACTGGGTGACTGAACTCTTCCAGATTAATCAGTACACTTTAAGTACACAGCTGCATGCTATGTTTACAATCACAGCTAGTATCAAGTTTTCAGCCAGCGCAGTGATTATGCAACAGTTCTGGGAGCTGACACTGTGACAGGGCACGGTGATACTTGAAATCAATCAAGTCTAACACACGATAGGGCACCTGCAGCACTTTAATCACCTGATCAAATCACACACACATACACCCTTCGGCACCCACCTGTCTGCGTGTGCCATTATGTCCACACACTGGGCTCCGTTCCAAGCACAATGAGGGTCCCTGGCAAAAATGCAGTCGTAGCAGGAAGTGTATCTGTGACAGTTAGAGAGAGGAAGCTGCACCACGCCTGATGGAGAGCCCACGTACACACTCATCTGGGGGGAAGAGAGAGGATTTAAATACTGTATGACGGTGATTACTCCTTAAAATGTGTGTGTGCATGTGATGGTCAAACACACTACCTGTTTTTCAGATACGAGTACATTGTTAACAGGCTGTGGTTCCTCAAACACTTGAAGCTCCTCGATAATGTGCAGCAGACCCTTGACTTCTACAGCTTTATGTAACCAGCCTTCGTCTAAGTGACACGTACAAAGAGGAGAAACATTAGCATTTAAGGACCATTCAAACACACAGAAGCCTGAACAACAAACTGAATGTTACATGTGTTTCTGTCAGGTGTTTGCAAAGTTCCTACGAGTTCCTACCTTTCAGGAAGCCAATGTTTTTTTTTATTCATTTCAGTATGCAATATAAATGAACTTTTAAACACTTGAAACTAATCGCTCTACTGTTTCTATATTTAGATTTATATATTTATCTTCATGTAATCACCAAAATACGAGGGCAAATTCCTCATATGTGAAAATGTACCTGGCAATAAACCTGATTCTAATTTAAGATAGCCAATCCACTTTTTTGCCTTTATTTCTTATCATAGTTACATATATCGAAGAAGGTATAGGTATCTAAGATTTTTGTGACTACTTGTCACTTCAGAACATATTTGTATTTGGAAATTTCGTATGTTGTTATCACACGTTAAGGTCATACAGTTCAAACAGTTTATGTATATCTGGAATAGTGCATTATAGGTGGACTATGCTAAGGTTATTTTTAGTGCTAGAAAACAAGTATACATATATTGTCATTTGCCATTGGATTTTCATTCCTGTCCCATCTCGCTCCCACAAAAAAAAATTCCTGTCCCATCCCAATCCCCAAAGAATGACTCCCATCCTGTTCCAATACAAAACAAATCTGAGGGTAGCAACAGTTTATTCATCTTAGAAATGCATATTTATATATAAAAAAACGGACCTGTGATTTCTGTTGCCTTTTTTCCTGTCCTTTCCCAGTCCCGTGATGAATAGTAAAAAACTCCCATCCTGCAGGATTCCCAAAAAAATGACAGCCTCTAATGTCTGTGTGCCCTTGACCTCAACCTTCGTTGGATAGGCAGCCTCTAATGTATATCTTCAAATCTTTTTGCCTGCCTCATGGATTTTCAGTGGACCATGAGTCAAAACTAAGATACTTCGCAGACTACCTTGTCTAGGAACTTGAAACATGGTTTGCAGCTGACTCAAAATTACATGTAATAACTCATGTGACAAGATGGGTTTCCATTACTGAACAGGTTTCTGTTTGTGATTTTCATGTCCAGTGAAATGAATGGAAAACATGAGCTGCCCAGAGAAGCGGGAAGACATATCTAAAAGTATATGCAACTAGTAACTGTTACAGGTAGCCTGGTCATTTGACAACAGGACTCAAGGAAGTCACTGCACTCAGCCAAGAAATAATTACACATATAACCACAATGAATTTTGTAAGATTTTGTAACCTTTGGAGTAAGCCACTCCCCCTGTTTCCGGTGTTTGTGCTAAGCTAAGCTAAATGTCTCCTGGCAGTACTGTTTCTTCATATTTAGCATACAAACATGAGAGTTCATCAATCTTCTGATTTAACTCACTGAAAGAAAGCAAATAAACATACTTCCCAAAGTGTCCAACTATTCCATTGTCTGATTACACAATTAATACCTGACGACGATTAATTCATACACACCTGTGCCCATGTATAATACATGGTATGTTTGTCCATCTAAGCCTTGGATCATGTGTACAGCCATGTGTGTGTAGTCTGTGGTCCTCCTGAACAAAAGTGGGCGTCCATCTGAAGGTCGGACCTGCTGGGACATCAGAGGATGCCTCCTGACAAAGTTCAGTACATCATCAGGCAGGGAGGTGGAGACGTTTATGTCCCTGGCCCTCAGAGCGTCAGTTATACACTGCAGGAAAGGAAGCCAAAGAGAGCGATTAGAGGAGGGATGATGAGTAAATAACAAGGCACAATGTGGGCTGCAGGGAGCAAAGAGACATTTTTGGCTCATTTGTAAAAAAGTTCTCTGTAAATACAGACGGATAGTGGAAGGCAGAGAGGATGTCACGAGGCTTAGTGAGATGGTCTGCAGGGACAATTAAGGGATCAAGAAGAAAACGCGAGCCTGTGGAAGACTGACTCTGGAAAAAAATACAACTTTTGGCCGACAATGAGCCAGTGTACGCTCAGCCGGCATGTGCTGACATGCGGGGGACTCAGCTCTCTCTGCACCTGACTAAGGGAACAATTTCACTCCTCTCTTTGTCCTTTTCAAATGACTCCAGCCAGCTCCTCTAAGAGGCTTTCACGCTCCCAAGTTAAAACCCCTGACCGTTTCTCCTTTCCATTTAATAGCAATATTAAAATTAAGTCCTGCAAAGTGTTGCAGTGACACTACAGTGGATAATGTCTGCTCCTGCTAACGATGCCACAGCCCTGGCTGGCACACTAAACCATTGTCGCCAAAGCTATGGGCTGGAGTTGATCACCATGGAAATGGGTTTCAGTGACATAAGCGGGTTGTGTTGAGTCTCATCCTCAAGGCTGCCACTCATCCTCTGCATCGTTTTCTCTCCATCTATTTTTCTGTTTCCTCCCTTCATGCATCTTTACTTACATCATTTCATCTACTGTCTGTTGGCGGCTTTCTGGTGTTTTTTTCTATGCTTTAAGAGGCTGAGAGGGCAGCAGCGCCTGTATTTGTGTGTGCATGTGTGTTTACCGTTCCAGGTCGTGGGTCAGGGATCTTTCCAGTGTATTCCTTCCACTTAGAGTCAGAGTCCTGGTTCTCCATGTAGGGTCCTTGAAAGGCCTCTTGGACCTCAGAGAGAGAAAACCGACACACCGCAGACGCCTTCACATTTTTCCTAAAGGCAGCAGCACATACACACACAGAGTGAGAAAAAGACCAGAGCACAGGCCCCGAACAAAAACAGTCGTAAACCCAGTGTTGCCATAGGGACAGCAGTAGAAGTACAGTAGATCAGTGGCTTTAACCTAGCTGAAAAGATGGAGAGACAAATGAGAGGAAAGCACAGTTGAGCGGGGAGGGGATGAGAACTGTGAGAGATAGCACAACGCTGATTAGAACTCATATATCTCTGAGAAGAGTAGGAGGGAAGTTGGAGAGAACTACAAAATGGTTTCAAAGAGATGTAGTAGGAGTAAGAGACAGGAGAGGTGGAGCTCAAGTGGAGACAGACAGAAGATAATCAGTGTATTTATGCTTTCCCCACAACAAAACATTTTGCTTAGCATAACATCCACTTCTCAGCTGATACATCCATGCAGTAAATAAACCGTGTTTAAAAGTGCCTCAAAGGGCAATTACAGTTATAATCAGATTACAGATACAGTTATAAAGATTTTTCTGACATCAAACCCCATTTTTGACACTACTAATTGCAATAGCCATTTGATGTATTAACATTCAGTAATTATCTCTCTGTACAGTAGGTTTTTTGTGGCGCAATTTTATCTACTTGACCATGGTTTGCTCTCTTTACATCGTGTCACAGCTATATTAAGTTACTGGTAACGCAAACCCAACATTTCCACAGCCAAACCATGGGGTGGCTATTACTGTAGAGCAGCCACAGGAAATGTGTTTGTCTCTGACATTAGCTAGCCGCAGATGTTCATACTGAACAAGATAGCAGTCATTTTCTGCATTTTTCCTTTACTGGATCATTTAAAATTTTTGCAAGGAAGTAATGGAATAAGAAGGAACGGACACAGGGTAACCAATTTCACTGTGCCTAATGGGAAACTACTTGTGTCATGTTCAGAATGAAATCAGATTGTGTTGAATTATTTTTCACCGACTTCTTTATTTTAACAACGTGAGTTTGTTTTGCTGCACTACAGCAACAACAGATTCACTAGCTCTGTTGTATTTCTGCCAATGTTGCTGCTCAATGAGTGGCTGCTCTATTATTAAACCACACTTGCTGTTATTGGTAACGGTAACCACAGGTGTCGTCAAATCAACCAGGACTGAAATCTTTAAATTCTTTTAAGCCCGTCTAAATTTGCATTTTTAATTAATATTCTTTCCTTTTCCTCTAGCCCACCTCTTTAATCTCGTTCCTTTCTTCTTTGACTGTTTGAATGTATCGATTGCTGCCTTTCATCTTTTTCACACTCATTTGCATTTGCATCCTTAAAGTCTCCGTCAGCCGTTGATCTTGACAACACTCGAGTTCCCACTCACCACTCCAGGCCGAAGATGCCGTAGAAGAGCGTGTCCTGTGGCTTGTGACCGGGTACGATGAACACACTGCGCAGCACGTTGAAGTGGAAGTCGTACTCAGGCAGAGTACATGTCACTCTGGCCTTGAGGAAGGACGTCCACCGTTTCTGAAGAGTTAAACGGCCTCCTCTGTCCCCCTGAGAACAGAAGTGGAGGAGAAAGGAGAAACACACGAGGAGGAGGGGTTCATATGAGGATAAATGACATAACAGACTGAACACTCTGCTCGAGGTGGAGCACATGGGGAAGTGAACCTCCTAGAGAGCAACAGATGGCAAGGGGAAGCCATTACGATAGAAGGTTATATAAGGTTATATATTCATTAAGGTTATGGCTTCCCAAAGGTAAGACTCTCCACTCTAATCTACAGGTTTGTGTGTGAGTGTTTTTGTCCCTCAGCAGACTGCAGCATGCAAACCTAATGGTTGAAAAGATTTTGACAGATTCACAATGGAAAAGCTTGACTCAAGGCCACAGTTCTTTTGGAAATCCAGCAACACGGCATCATCTTGCCCTTTGATTTTAACTTAAACGTATTCAGCCTGTGGCAAATTGCAAATGTCACACATTTCACCGCAAGGCATTTCTATTAAGATGAAAAAACAAATATGCTGCCAAGCTTTCAAGGAGAGAACTTGGACTTCATTTTATGGTGCCACAGTAGAAAACAACAGAGTTATTACACTGTACAATTGGCTCTCACTATTCTTAACCCCTTCCTGGGCAGCAGGAAATGTAAATCATTCACATTTTACAGAGCACATGATGCTTAACAGTCTGTCTATCCCCTGCAGTCATCTATCCTTCTCACACAGAACCCCACTGACTCTGCAATGCATCCATCAACTACACAGTCTGCTCCTAATCACACTGGGGCCTTGTTACAAACACATTCCCCATCCAGCAACTCATCTATTATAGCACCCTCCCCTATCATCAACCAAGACTCCAATCAAGCTAGTCTGACGCAAGGCTTCACTCCACTTGTAAATCATATCATGCATCTTTTTTTATTTTGCACTCACTTTACAAACCCGAGCCACTCGTGCCACCCTGCTGTGGCTGTAGGTTGTCGTCTGCTCCTGGCTCCTCTCGTTGAAGAAGAAGTAGATCTTATCATCATCACCGGTGCTGCTGCCCAAACTCTCCCTCACCAAGGCCGAGCCCACAAAGTCTGCCTCTGTATGGGGGAGAAAAAGATAGACTGTGTTTTTTTTCTTTCCTGATAAATGAATCTAACAAAATTGTTTCCACCTCATGTGAAGTAATTAATCATCGACAGCCTTTACATCCATGGAGTCCTATTTAGATAACCAGCTGACATGAGCCTTTGATACCCTGAATATGGGTATATTAGTTACCAAAACCTGTCTACCAGAGGTGTCTTACTTAAACACAAAACAGTAAAATGGTGTGATAATCGCCTTTAATTGAGCTGTTGGCTACTTGTAAAAGGAGGGGGCAGAAATAGCAATCCTAATACGAACACAGTTTGTACATGATGATAAAAATAAAAAGTGAAAGGAGAAGATGTTTATATGCTTCAGTTATCTGCAACACAATATGAGTCATTTCAACCCCAAACCAGTTTTCTGGAGGAACACATTCTGTGAGGGTATAGGCACAGCAGTGCTTTGAGCTAAATGCTATTGTCAGCATGCTAGCACGACGATGTTTAGCCACAAACCAAAGTATCAATCAACATGAAATTTCGACGTGGTGATGGTGCCAGATTAAAAAAGTCAAGGGATCACCAAAATGATTGCAATTAATCCTGAGGGAATGTGTGTACTAAAGTTCATGTCAATCCATCCAAAACTTGTTGAGACATTTCAGTCAAAACTACAAATATAAACCTCATTGTGGCACTAGAGGAAAAGTCAGGGGATCACTGAAGTCATTAGGATTCATCCTCTGGGACTATGAATGTCTGTACAAAATGTTGTGTGAATCCAAAAAATTGTTGAGATATTTTAGTCTGGACCAAAGTGTAGGACCAACAGACTGGGACTAAAAACAGAATTGTCAACGCATGTAAAACTAAAGTGTAATACTTTAAGAATGAGTGGAGCTGATGCAAAGTAACATAATGCATTGTCGATCCACTGGTGCTGATAAAGAATCAGTGTGTGTTTCTGTGGGTACATGAGCAGATTATATGCAGTGACCACCCTGCCACATAAACTTGCTATAGGGCTTTTATCATTCCAGGAGATCAACTTACCATTCAGCCAGCGTGTTGGGGCATCTTCTGTCTTCAGTGTGGGAGACGGAGAGTTGCGGCGGATATCTGGAAAGCTCCTAAACTCATACTGGGAAGCTGTATACATCTGCTGGTCTAGGGGAAAACACAATTAATTAGCTTCTTCAGGTATTTAGTAAAGCTCTGGAAGTGACTGTTGAAGGGCTTACCGATGAGGAGGGCAGTGTAGCCTGTTGTTGGGCCATAGGGACATTTGTCTCTGCCCTCTTCAGGCTGAGAAGACATCACAAACCTTTCCTCATCCTATACAGCACAAACAATTGGGGTAAAGAGGAGGACATTTAGTTAGAGGAAAGACATTCACAGAGTCAAACATAAAACAGAATGTGAAATAATATCAGCACTTTTTCACTGCTATGTTCACATCTATGGACCAAGAAATTGGTTCTGTAAATGCAACAACCAAACAGATTGCACTTACACCCATATAGTAAGAAATTAAATGCTAAGTGCATTTAACAGCACTGGAAGGGCTGCTATGTGTTTTGCATTGACATACTATGTATGCACAGAGCGGACTGAAGGCATGAGTCCCACACATGTAGAGATGAGTCGAGTTGAACCTCTGGAGGAAGCGGATATGATTAAAACACTCCGTCTGCATAAGGAAGAGAAAGCCGGAAAGACATTACAATGAGGGAATATCAATGCATGGGAGAGAATGAAATACAAAAACATGAAAAAGAGGGAGAGGGAAAAAGAATAACTAAATGCCTACCTTATTGTCTTTTCCCTTGAGCCGACATTGAAGTTTTTGCTCGTGGGAGGCCTCCCACTCAATCTAATCCACACCACAAAACATACAGTAAGACAGAAAGAGCACACAACAAGTTGGATGGTTTCATATAGCAAAATATCACAGATCTGACATTAGATAACTGGAGAGAAGTATCTTTCTGCTTTAATAATTCAAACCATTGCAGCATATGAATTTACTGTGTTGTTAAATAAAATCATATTCTTTTTAACTCTCTGAACACATTTGTATTTACAGCAGTATTCGGAGGTGTGGTTGCAAAGCAGTGTTACACACACACCAGCAATTATACGTGACATACACCAATGCTGTATTAACAGAATTAGCTCAGCTTACAAAAACAGCTTAATGTCAGGTTGTCACCAGGTAACACACAGAGCAGCAACAGGTTAAAGAGGGTTTTCAGCTTCTATGGGTACTTAAACGAACGGTCAACTTTAACATTATCCTGCAACATGCTATAGCTTGAGGGCTTCACTAAATGACGGCAACACTGCTGAAAATACACTTTAGCCTCTTTAACTCCACAGATCCTTTGTTGGGACCATCATTGCAAACTTTTGTTGGACTGAAAGGGCAGTTCAACATAGAAACTTTTCTAAATATACCACAGACGTTAGACTGAAACACAGGGTGTACATGTACAGGTACATGTGCATAAAACAATTAACGCAACATGTCGTATTTAAAAATTTTGTCTTTGGTAGAGTTTGTAAGCTTTAACTTGAAAAGTAGGCTAGATACTGCCAACACTGAGGTAGATAGTATGATAATTTCTGCATTAATTAAGAACTACTTCTGTGTCTACATGCTTCAAAATGGGGACGATATAAACATGCATTCTGTATCTATTTAGAGTTATAGTGAGAGGATACAGTACTAAGTTTGTCATTTTTCCCCATTAACATGTAAGTTTATGCAGCAAGATGCTCCTGTGGTGTAACTGTGAGTTATTGTGCAGAAACTAATGTGACTGCTACACACACACAAATACACAAGAGGCGATGAGGGAATAAATACTTTTGCCTCAAAATGAAATATTGTTGCCTCCGAAAAGTTCCTGTGTTGTGGAGTTCAAATGAAGCTGTGGAAGAGTTAAAGATGTGGCAGCTGAGGCACACAACACACAGCAACACAGACACAAACAAACTCACAGTGAGAGCAGGGCTGGCTGAGATGTCAGAGGCATTGAGAGCGAATACAGCCCCCCGGGCCCCGACATAGAGACGCTGACTGTCAGCCTCCAGCAACATGGTGCTGTAGTTGACTGCAGAGGACTGGAAACGTCTGCAGCCCTGGAGACCTGAGGAGGAACAGGGGAGGACAGGAGAGGAGAGGGATTGGTTGTTAATGAATGTAACCTTCTGTAAGCCCCTGACTGCTTCTGCTCAACATCTATTTAGCAAAACAGCTCCCAATTTCCATAAAAACAAAAACAAAACCACAGACATTCATACACCACACAAGGTCTTCAGTGGCTGAGTCGGTGATAACCAGTATAATAATGGCACTTCAATAGAGATTGGGGAAGTTTTAGAGATGGCACACTCTTGAATTATTAAATCAGTGGGCACAAAAAAAACCACCCAGATGACAACAACCCAGTTTTACCTTCTTTTGTTGCTGCACTTCCTCAGATAATTCCATTCATGTCCCCTGTTTGTTTATTAGACAATATAAATGGTTGAAAAGCCTGATTCTCATTTGTAAGGCTAAACTCATTACCACCTGGTCATATCTTAGTACACTTCCCACTGCTGCTATTGATTGTGGTCTGTCTGTACCATGGGAACAACTGTGGGCTAACAAATAACACTTTTCAGGGACAAAGCATCCTCAGTTCACATTCATATTTTCTCAAATACTCCAAGAATCTACTAATTTATCCTCTGCGGCACCACTGTACTGATAACTACATACATAACTACATCATCTATCATCATTTATGGTCATCAGGATTTTAATGTGATAGTCTGAATAAAAATTATGAAAAAATCCACACTGGTGGATATTTGTACAACACATCTCTCTGAATGTATTCAGAAAGCCCACAGTTATTGCCATCAGGGTGTTTCATGTTAAAAGAACAAGAGTGAGCACTTTTTCAATCAAACCTGACAGTCTGAGAATAACGGAGAAAGAGAAATCTGTTCTGTCTTCTGTGATGGATTTCTTGCTTATCGAACGTTGGTTCAAAGAGGTAAAAAGGCCTTACTCTTTGATTCTGAGGGATTCCTTTTAAAATTGGAAGGCGCTTTTAGGATAGAAAATTGTTCTATTAAAATCTATTTTCTGTAGCTGCAGAGAAAAAAAATCTCTTTACAAGATCTTATTTCTGTCTAGTCAGAAATAAGAAACGTACAAACACAAAATTGGAAAAGCATGATGCATTAAATAAATAAACTACTTTTTGACAGCAGCAGTGTTTTAGGATAGAAATTTTCTTTAAGACTGTTTATCTACAGACTTTCTCTTGCTCATTTTCAGTAATGAAGTGATTAGTCAACTACTGATTAGCTGGATTGATTAATTCAAATGAATGAATTATAAAATGTGAGAGAATTGTGAACAAGGCAAGGGTCTACAGCAAAATGCTAATGTTAGCATGGCAACATGCTCACAATGCTAATATGCTGATACTAAGCGGGTATAATGTATACCATGTTCGTCATTTTTGTTTAGTGTGTTAGCATGCTAACATTTGCTTATTAGCGCACAAAGTACAGCTGAGGCTAATAGGAATGTCATTAGCTTTCCAGGTATTTATTCGTAAACCAAAGTATTAAAAATTTAAATTTTGGTCAGATGGCTATATGAATATTCAGACATCACTGAGGGGACTATATATACTGTATACAACCTTTATTTATCTTGCCTTTATCTGGTAGTCTCACTGAGATCAAAATCTTAGGTGGGTGCTTATTATTATTATTATTATTATTATTATTATTATTATTATTATTATTAGCAAAGAAAAACAAACATAACCAGAGAAACAAAAGTCATAAAATACACAGAACATAGTCAGACATTACAAAAACAAATACAGCAGCAGTGAGCTGATGAATTCACTATGAGGTATGACTTGTCAGAATACCTCTCTACTGTCAGAGATAAAAAGCAGAGGCAGCTCCTAACCAACTACAGGCTTAGTGACCACGAACCTGCCTGTAAAACATTCAATGAGATAAGAAACATTTACTTTAACAAGTTCAACTCTGTAATCTCAGATTTCTCCCAAGAGAAGGAGACAGGGCATATCTTGCTGCACAAAATCAAAATGTATCAGCATGCCACAACCTGAGGGACAGCGAGTCAACTACGCACACGCATGCATTCACACACACACACACACACACACACACACACACACACACACACACACATACACGTACATTCATTAAAATGTTGCAATGGTTTTATAGTTTTCACTTACTTGTACATTTTAAAAATTTTTATTTCACACCTGCTTTGGCAAAGTAAACTTCTGATTCCTATGCCAATAAAGCCCCGCTGCATTGAACTAAACATGAATGTCATGACAATGCTTCCAAAAGTTTCACATATACATTATTAATATATCATAAATATATTTCAATACAAATATCAACCTCATGGTGGCACTAGAGGAAAACTCAGGGTCATCAAAGTCAAAGATATTTCAGTCTGGACCAAAGTGGTGGAATAACTGAACAGCAGACCATTACCATACACAGAGCCCTGCTGCTAGTGTAGCTAAAAGTGGCACAGATTTGGTGGTTCCAGCTTCACAAACATAAGGATTTTGAAATGAAATGAAATTACAACTCCAATCTGGACGATAATAAGCCAGGGATTATGTTTATCCGACACAACTTTGCTGAGGGAGTAGAAAATAATGAAAAGAGGCCCGACACAACGTCAAATTTCAGAGATCCACTTCTACTTAATGTGGGTTTCTGTGGTTTGAGGTTTCTTTGCTTTGTGTATTTGTCCCCTGTCCAGTTTTCCAGGCTATATTGGGATGCATCTGTTTGACAGGACAAGATACTAATGAGGTTCACTCCTACGAACACTCAGGAAAGAGACATACTGTACTGTACAGCACACACACACACACACACACACACACACACACATATATATATATATATGCACGCACTACCAAGACATGTTATGAAGTCACTCTCTGCAGTCACGAGATTCTGGGTAGTTATGCAACTTATAAACATACAATCTATCAGAGTCCACTTGGCTTAGGTAAACATGACACCGCTGACACAGACACAGAGAACTTCTAGGCATGTTATAGCCACAACAATATCTCTACAAAGAGAAACAACTGTGATGTGAGCAAACAGCGTGGTCCATTGTGAAGAAATTACAGCTAAGTTGGAGGTTAATGTCCAATTAAAATATCTGACATGACTAATGTGGAGCAGCTTTTACTATCAGCCTCTCACACCAACTAGGGAGTACAGTAGCTCAACGTGACCAAACAGAAAATTGTCAAACGTACTGCATTCTATGCCAATCCACTTCCCCCCTGAAGACTGCATAGTTATCAAGTAAGCCGTCATTAAGATTCCTATCAGCTGCTGCAAAACACAATCCACTCGGCTCACTTCAGCAGCAAGCAGCAGCAGCAGCAGCAGTCAGTTCCCATCTCAGACTGCTCTTGGGTGATCAGGTGTCTACTTTTCCTCCCTCATTCTCAGCAGGAGGAAGAAGAGTATTACCTGTATGGGATTTTCGGGACAATACGTTTTCCTGCGTGATACGAGTGTCTCATTGTGAGTGTAGACAATGCATTACAGCAGAGACAATGCCTTGAGTTTCCTCAGTGTAATCCAAGCATTAGGACACACAATGGCTGACAGCTGGAGCCAGGTACCTGAAAACAACCTCTGTGAGAGTGTGACGCAGCAGAGGGGAAAATATATTAACTATATGTGACAGCACATTTTAGCCTTGGCTTACAAGATTGTGCAAGAAGAGACACGTTTGATTAACGTGTTCCTAGCAATTTCATTAGTACATGCATTTTACTCCTTAGACCTCCCTAACACACAAACCATTTTGGCATCATTTTGTAAGACTAATTCAGTGCACTGAAGATGGGCTGTACTATGTAGAAAAGGTCAGTTATCAGGTCTGAGTTATCCACCAGATGGATTCCTTCTCTTTTCATTTGAGATGGTTACATTGTAGACATCAGGGCCAAATGACCAAGACACTGTGATGTGAGGAGAAGAACTCCATAGAAAGTCAGCAACTTATCATTGTTCAGATTGGTTTGCACTATATAGGTATTTGACATAATTAACAATAATTATTCAATTTGCTGACACTTTTATCCAAAACTACTTTCAGTTGCTATATATGTCAGAGGTCACACACCTCTGGAGCAACTATTGACATCTCAAACCAGTTGGTTCTCATGAACAGCTGCCTCATACTCCAGATAGTTTCCCTTAGGGCTGGACAATGAAACAATAACAATAATTATCGCAATATATTTTTTTTCAAGAACAATATAACAAATGTTCAATAAATATTCAATAAATGGTTGATTTTATTCACTTGAATCGTAAACAAATTAGGACTTCATTTTTTATTGAGATGTTTATTTTGTTGAGGAAAAATGACTGAAAAAAGCTTTTACTTAATTTTATTTAATGAACTTACTGCATATTTGTTGACAAAGATTTTATCATAATTGTTTTGAATGATGATCCACTGTTTGACCTCAAGTGTTGACCAAAGAGTTTAAACCACATTTAACCATCAGGTTTCTTCAACTTTCACTCAGGAGCAAAAATCAGCCTTTAAACTCGAAAGAAATAACAATTTAATACTTATTGTGATAATTATTGATATAAAAAAGATATGAAACTTTTAATAGTGATAACATTTTTGGCATATCGTCCAGCCCTAGTTTACCTCTAGATTGCAATTCAATTGTCCACCTATCTGAGCCATCACTATCACAGTCACTCTTAAATGCCACTTTTTCAAGTGCAGGAATGATGATGTTGCTGCACACAGCACTTGAGGGGTCATCTGATAGTTTCAAAATGTGTGAAAATAAACAGATGATAACTAGGATAACAGCCAAAACCTGTATTTTCAATTGAAGCACTGTGTCATACTACCAGTTAAAAGTGTGACCTTTTACAAATTTACACCTCTTATGAGCAAAAAAATTTACGCAGGAGTATAACTCTCAAAAAATATCAGTAGGAGACCCTTAAAAGAATATACAGTACGTACAAAATATGATAATTCTATCTGTTAATTAAGGTGTTTTAGTTACTTCTTTTTGTAGTAGTCTGAGGAAGACATATTCTTCCAGATGTGCAAGCAGGAAGTAAACTAATCTGGTCATGTGACCTTTCACACTAGTCACATGATATTGATCCATTTTAATCAAGACAATCTATACTTTCATTTAAAAGTTGAATTTCTTGCCCAAAGCCACCGGTACAACTTTTAGAGCTTCAGAAATAAAATGAAAAGACGCAATTGTGAACGGTGGGATTTAAGGTGTTAATTCCGTAGGGAAAGAAAAACAGTGAGTGAAGCCCAGATGATATTATTTACTGAGCAAACACTCAGCTGATCAGCAAAGTACAGAGTGTTCAGGGACACGCACGCATGCACACTAGCTGAACCTCAAGGCGTTTGGACCGTGTGTGCCTTACATACAGTTCCTGACAGGCTGAAATCAGTGAGTGCAATAAAAAGATATCTAGATGTGACATCAATTTTCATTCTTTTAAAACCTGCTTTATCTCTGTTTTGCCAGATTTTGGACTTTAATGTTCTCAAAACTGAACTGAATTTTTCTTCTTTATGAGAAAACGTTGCAATGAGAAGAGAACACACAGGTGCTTGTGTGCATGCATGCGTGATTTAACTATACCCCACACAGGTTTGGAAGCTTTGCCTTCAGGTTGCTAAGAAACACACAGATTTAAGGGATTAGTGGTGAGTTTGCATATCGATGTCTTCTCATCAGGAGGAGGGAAGCAGAAGAAACAAAGACTAGAGGTAATGGCAAGGTGAAGGGATTAAAAGAGGGCAGTGCAACCAGGAAAAGGAAGAACAGAAGACAAAAATGAGTAAAAGAGACAAAGCTCAGGTAGAGAGATGGATGAGAGAGTGATGGGGTAGCAGACAAGGAGAACAGTCATGTAGGAGGACCTGTGGGCCGGCTTGAGTGCAAACAGATTATTTACAGAAACTGAGATAAAGGTATCAAGAGAGGCTCATAGCAAGAGGAGTAACGGGGGTAAAAAAGATAGATAATGAGTGTAAGTAGGTGATGTATTGTGAGAAAGACAACTGTTTAGAAAAGGAGAAGAGGAAAGGAGGGATATTGTTCTACAAGTAGATCTTATAAAGGGTATTTGGCAGCAAGTCAAAGTGGAGAGGTGAGAACATTTCTTTCACACATCTGTGTATCAACAAATAAATTCCAGGATCAGATAAAAACTGTAAGGAGATACACACACTTGCCCACACATGCACAAAAGAAAAATGCTGTATACGGCAGTCCTGCACCATACTACAACAGTTGTCATGGTTACGGTGCTTCTCAACTACCTACAGTGGTGTCAGTCTCCCTGGATGCTCCGCAGGGATCCAAGAGTAAGAATTTCACTTATCTGCCACTGTCTCTGTAGCACCTCAGGCTACATGCCATCACTCACACAAGGTAAATGAATAATAATCACACTGATAAAAAAATACACAATAAAAAATCATGGTTTTACACAAGAAGCGGGTGTAAGAACTACCAGAGGCAAGTGGTTTTATGCGCAAGTTGGTGTGCACACAAATGACACTGAGAAGAGTGGAAAGAGAGCGAGGCAAAAACGAAAAGAGCTGTGTCAGTAGAGAGGAGAAAGAACGAAGGAAGGAAAGTTAAGAAAACAGATGTCACCGGCAATACAACAGAAAGAGAGACTGAACAGATAAAGAGTTTCTTTCCAAATGGAAATATTCCCTGTTTAAAGAAACCTGTTATAGAACAGCTGCCAGCATGAATGGAAAGCCCTGCATTAATAACTGAGTTATGAGTCTTCTTAAGGTGTTCAATGTCTGAGGCTCAAATGATTTTGACTTTTGACAATTTCACATGAATGGGATGCACCACAAACTGTTCAAAAACACAGATTTTAGCGCAAAACCCTGTGTGTGCTTGTTTCCGTGCTTACCGCTCCTCAACACGGTGATGCGTGGAGTCACATCCAGGTCCAGGGGCGTCCTGAACGGGTAGGCGGCCACCGCACACACACAGCAGCTCAGCACCAGGAGCCGCGCCACAGAGGATCGAGCTCCCTGCATCTCCACCGAGCGTCTCGTGGGGCACACACTCTCCGACCAGGATATATACACATGCGCTCCCACAAACATATTCACCCTACCACTAACATAAACCCCTGCACACACACACACCCACGCACTCACACAAACACTGGCAGGCAGGCAGGCAGGTAGCCTCTTTCACCGTGCTGTAGAAATAAAACACATACAAAACCAGCAGATTTAGTAGTCATGTCTACACTAGAAGAAACATAAAATGCCGTACGTGAGGGCATATGACGGAAAATGTCACCTCAAAAGGTCAGAGGAGAAGCTGAAAAAGAAGGAAAGCTGGTGAATTTGAGCGGCACAGTTCAAACACATTAAGCAAGCTGATGTGGGGGATTTCACAAGGATGACGACAGAGATATGAAAGACACACAAAGTGGATTCGCTCAATAAAATATTTGGGGGCTTTTGTAGATCAACGGCGCCCTGTAAGACCGGGCCAGCTTTCCATGTTGCAAAGTCTTGCAGTCTGTAGTGTGTGAGCAGCAGCTGCAGAGTCCAAACACATGAATGACAACCCCATTAGCAAAACAAATGACTGTCAAACAGAGCTAGGTGCCGATATCACGAGCAAACACGTGGGGATTAAACGGCGGTGTGGAGCAATCCAGACCAATAAGGTGTGAAACCTGTTCAAACAGGAGGTGAGGGATTGTGGGATTGTGAAATATGATCATTTTTAAGATGTGTGTGTTGTGATATGAATGCCAATGTTGTTCCGGCAGAACAAAACCCTCTATTGGGAGGAGGGGAGTGAGGAGATGGTGTGTGTGTGTGTGTGTGTGTGTGTGTGTGTGTGTGTGTGTTACTATCACATGCACCAGTGCACACACCAACCACACTGAATCCGGAGCATCACCAACAACCAACAATATTATCCAGTTGGATCTCTCTTTTTCTATGTCTCTCTTTCAAACAGACACACGAACACACACACACACAATCTCTCTATCTTTAAATACTCCACTTCTTGTCTTTAAAATGTAAACAGTTGCACTCTTTAGCGCTTTCCTTTCACAAAGCATGCCCATAGCACCCTAAAGAGCTGAACACCCAGGTAGCCTGCTTCCTCCTTCTATCATATGTGCACACACACACACACACACGCATGCACACATGATAACACAAATCTATTTACACACACAAAAAAAAGAGCAGAAAAGTTAAGCCATTAGCGCAATCGTTTGTGACTACACTCTTACAGATAGTCCCAGCAGTCCCTCAGGGCTGACACCATGACAACGGCTGGCTTGAGAGTTGAATAATGTAACAGTCGAACAGCAGTATGCAGGTGTGGATCAGAGAGCTACTCTAGTAACTGTGATTTTAACAGTAGGTAGTAACTCGTAAAACGGGGAAGCACAGGCTTATAGAAGTACTCTTAGCACTGTAAACTGTGATATTATACCCTTGTTCTAGCCACTGTTCACACCCACAGGACAATTAGCAGAATGTAAGACTGCCAGTACTATGGAAAGTTACATGATTATAGTCACAGCGCCCTGCTATATAATATATAGAATATAACTGAAACCTTAAAATGAAGATACGGTTATTCTATTTATATTGTTTTTTATGTTTGAAAAGGACCACAGAGGTGGTTTTGTGTGTTTTAGCCCATTAACAAATCAGATACTTATATACATTATTGCTGTACATTTTCCAAAACAAACATGAAACAACAAAAACATGTTAAGATAAATCTTTCTACAGTCCACTCATTTCCCTATGATATAAACTCAGCAGGGAGACGTGAAACCTACAGTAGACTTATTTCAAATCTATACATCACGCTAAACATTTACTCTTCTTCCTCTAAAATTGCACATGCGAGTAATGAATGTTTTGCAAATTAAACCTTTGTTGGGCCAGCTGCCAGAAAGTATCGCAGTTACATGTTATGTTGTCAAAAAATATAAACGCAAAGAGGATAAGAACAAAAAGGATAACAACAATGAACTAACATGAATGTCCTAGAAAAGGTAAAAGGAATTTGTTTAGTGCTGAAACAATTAATTTATTAGGCGATCAACAGAAAATGAATCATCAACCATTTTGATATGGTTATGGTTTGATATTAATCATTTTTGAGTCATTTCTCTAGAAAAAATGACATTTGCTTGTTCCACCTTCTCCAATGAGGACGAGGAGTGATGATTTGCTGCTGTTCTCTGTTTTATATCATTAGTATTAGTACCTTTGGATTGTGGAATTTCACTTTGGGCTCTAACAACTTTTGATGGGCACATTTCACTATTTTATGCCTAAACGATTAAACAGTTCATTGTTATATAATCGACAGATTAATCGAAAGTGAAAATGATCTACATCTGTAAGTTTCTTGCCTTAAAAATATGACTTTTCAGTAGCTGACTCAAAAGTCTTGGATGTCAGAGTTTCACACTGGAAAAGAAGAGTTTTGAAAATCCGTCCCTGGTGGCAAATTTATTACTTTGACAGAAAGGAAGTTTGAGAAAAAAGTGAAGTCTTTTTACAAAAGGATATTTCTACTGTACAGAATTTAAACGGCTGGAAGGTTGGAAACCAATCCAAATGTTTTTGAAATAAGATGAAAAACCACCATATATTCTCCCAGGAGTGGAGAAATAACTTTTATAACTTTTAGCTCCTGACATGTAGCTGTGTTAACTACTTTTTGTAGGTTTTTACAGCTCTGTCTTGTCCAAACACACTTTGGGGACACCGCTCATTTCTGTCATACATTCTCTCTCAGGATGTGCTGCCTTTCCTGAGGCCTGTCAAACACGGTACATGTGTGTCAATTGCCCTCCTAGCCTTGTCTAAGCTGGCCTTAAAAGGTGGCAGGGGAGATGCACTGAGGGGCTCTATATAAGTCATTTATCTGGCGCATGCACACCAAAATCACTCAAATGGACTGTCACGGTGTAAATCCTTTCATTCAGTTTGTCAGTCAGTCTGTCAGTCCGTCCGTCACAGTGGTCTTGATGTGGTCTTATGATCCAGAGAGGAAGAAGAGTCTGACTGACAGATAGAGAAAGAAAATATGAAAGAGGGGAGAGAAAGCAGCAGGCAGGGAGGTAAAATGTCATCAAAAAGTCCAGCGGCGCAAACCAAAGAGCCAGTAATTGTGACATTCCCGATTCTCTGTCATCTAAAACCCATTACTGCCAACTTGCTCTGGGCACCCCGGACCCCCTAAATGCAGAAGCTTTCAATTGTTAATTGGCCACTGAGCACCCCAGTCAAAACTTTGAGAAAATGTAGAAAGAGACATGTTGAAAATAAGATGAGGCTGACCCAGAGGAAATTACAGCGTCTCTACTACTCACGACCTAACCTCCCTAATCTGTCTTCCTCCTGATCTCACTGCCAGCTCTCAGTCCCATGACATTCACTCACGGAAATGGATTGTATCAGGCAATTATAAAGTGTCTATAAACCCGCCTGAATAGAAGAGATTGGAGGACCGCGGTGACAGCTCCATCAACACACAACAATTGTCCCAGAGGACTTGAAACTGTTTTTGAGTTGGATATGTGTGTCTGTGTGTGTGTGTGTGTGTGTGTGTGTGTGTGTGTGTGTGTGTGTGTGAGTGAGTGAGAGAGATAAATGGTAAAAAGATTTCAGTGAAAGCCATTGAGCTGCGCTTCAACTGAGAGACAGACTGCTTTAAAACACTCTTGTTTCACAGACAGACAAAAGGAAGCCAACTGTACTGAACTCTGTTTGTTCTGTAGCTTTATACTGTGTACCGTCACTTCATGAATGTAACACTGGGATCTTTAAACTGACCTTTTACACTGGACTTATTCTGATAATGCGACAAAAGGGACAAAACTGTGTGTGGTCAGTGTATTAATGAAATGTTGTTTACCGTTATTTATCCTTGAGCATAACACACACACTCACAGCTCATATGTGTTATTTGTGAGAATCTTTCCACTCTGCAGCAGCTTCACTCCGGGTTAAATGGCAGTTCAAATGTGGCAATGGTTTATAGCCTAAGTCTAAAATTCCACTAAACATGATCAATCTCATTTAAGAAAACGGGAGGCTTAAGGTCAATTCAGGCATGTCTTAAAATGGTCTTATAAACGGTTACAGTACGTAACCTGAAATCCCAAATTTGGCTCAAAGGGTTTCACAATCTGTTCAGCATACGACACTGTTTGGCCCTCGCTTCGGTGAGGACAAAGGGAAAAACGTCAGGCAGAACAACAGTGGAGGAATCCCTCTTCCAAGGCGGACAGACATGCAATAGATGATGTGTGTACAAATAAAAATAACAATAGTATAATTGCAATACAGAGAAACAGAAATATTAGGTAAATAGACTGCATAATATAATAATATTGCATACACATACAGTATGACTGCAGTGTCGCCAGCAGAAAAAATCCTTTCATTGATATGTCACACTGACTTTACACTGTGCCAATGAGAGGCTGCAGAAGACTATGGAGTAACTCAAAACTAAAAGCATCTGTGCAGTCAAAAGTACGATTATAAATTTGAATAAAACCAAAATCTGAATAAGGTTTGAGTTGAAAACCAGCTAACCTATACCGTTTGGAGAATGGGGTGAAATATAAAGCAACAGGAAGAGAATATCAAGCACTTTTTACATGATAATAACATATTACCACATCTTTGCATATCTTACAAGCGTTTCCTTTCACTACACCATTCCATTACATCGTGAATATTAAAGGCTAAACAGGTAAGATGCCTGGGTTCACAGGGTGTGTGCCTAAAATGATTAGATCACTGTTACAAAGACCATCAGCTTGGATAGAAGATGGCTGATTACCCATCATAAACAAATCAATATGCTCTTAAAGCACCTCCAGCATCATTAATGTGTGTTTACAGCTCATCAGAGTTGTTCAGTTGGCATCTTGTGACATGTTTAACATATGAATCACCGGCTGCAGCTTTACTTTGCTGCCCAGTTCGTCAACATCCCCCGCGGATATCTGACGTATTGAAAGTCGCTCCACACAAGTGCAGCCCCATATGAGTTATAACGCAGTAATGCAGTAAAATTAGGCTAGAAGACACACAATAAAGGCTCAATGGGTGTTTTAAATACATCAATTAACCAAGTTTACACACGTTCGTGCTGTCAGTAGCCTACTTGACACAGGTGAAGATATCCTACACCTGTCTGAACTGGGCTACTATAGAGGAGCAAGTATCCAATAATGACACGTAAATTATCACATATTTTTGAGAGGATATTAAATACTAATATCACAGGGAAACTCTTAAGTCTGTAGGTCAACTGCAAAATTGTCATAAAGATAAGAAGAGATTACATATAACCATACTACACAACAACAATCACTGTGTGGTTATTGAAGAAATAGGCTACTACACCACAATAAAACAAACATATCAAGACAAACTCACTATTAAGTAGCCTAAAGGTATTTTTGTAGGTTGAGCAAGGGTCGTGTAATTTCCAACGTGTCTTACCTGAATCACGTACACATTCCTCGAAGAGCAGGATATGTGTTTCCGTGAGCTCAATATAATCCAGCTGGACTTTAAACGCCTATACTCACAGTCAAACACACAAACACCCACTGAATAACACACAGCACTAACGCTGGGACGGACTCGAGGCTTCTCTCTCCACTCATTTGCCGTCACAGGTGGCCCGCCCTCCCACAACGCTTCACTTGCTTGTGGGTTTTTTTCTCCATCCACCAACCTCTGAATCAGGTAGTCCGGTCCTTTTTTCATCCAGGTCGTTATTATTTGATGATGAGACGGCCCCTGGTTCGTTGTCTCACTTCACGAGCCCCAGCCCTTCGCAGGGACAGTTTGCCTACAGTTATGGGTCAAAGTGAAAAAGGTGCACGGATGCAACCTGTCCCATTCAATGCTGCAAGGCGGCGTCACACTGACACCTGGCGTGCTCTGAGGGAATTACACACAACCAGGTGCGCTGGTTGTAGGAAGTCTTATAAATTTAATTTCTTAATTTTTAATTGCGAAAGTGGCAAGACATTATAAACAACTCTTATATTCTAACCATCACATACACACCCTCTGTGAGTGTGTATTTAATGTGTATTTAATCTATTGTTTGCACGATTGGCTGCTGCCTCACACTTACTTGCTGTTGATGTTTTCACTGTTCCATCATGTATACACCATATTCATATCATACCTCTAGCTGTTTATTGTGTACATAATGTCTTACTGTTAGCATTACTTGTACTTATACCTGCACTGCCTACTGTAACTGCTAGACATGTATGTGTGTGTGTGTGTATATATATATATATATATATGTGTGTATATATATATATACTGTTATGTATATGCTTTGTACTCTCCCGACAAACAAAATAACAATCATGTGATCCTTCAGCATTTCACTAGCGTTTAATGGTGATTTCTAAAGTCACTCAATGTTGCTTTACAGCCCCTGGAAAGTTGGTTTAAAATCTTAGGCTTCTCTTGATAACATTATACTCCTGACTAAAAATGCAACAATTGAGGTAAAGTTTGTGGGGGCTGGGGGATATCTTCTTAAGGATAATTTTCAACTATCAATTAGTTTTAACATGCAATAGCTGATTTTTTGGGCCATTAAACAAAAGTTGCCTTTTTGTACATCTAGCAGAGGTAAAACCTTAGTCATGTCTCAGTCCTTCGGGTGAACATATTCACTATCTTTTAGCTCTGATTTTAGTTTTCTATATTTAGTCTCCACTATCTTGCTCTTTAGTTGTGTTGTCATGTTAAAGCTAGTTGCTAATAGTGTCAGTTTGCTGGTTGGTGCGGCAGGTAATGTACAGTGGGTTTATCAAAGCTTTTTCTTGTGATGCAGAGTGGCAGATGTATACCACTACTGGCATGCTGGCTTTTTCACTGGAAACAACGGCCTGTGATGCATTTTCAAAATAAAAATATTGATTGTAGCTATAGCTGGCCTTTCTGTGTGGAGTTGTTCTCCCCGTGTCTGCGTGGGTTCTCTCCGGGTGCTTGTCCTCAGGTGTGAGTGTGAGTGTGAGTGGTTGTTTGTCTATGTGTGGACCTGCGATGGACTGGCGACCTGTTCAGGGTGTACCCCGCCTTTTGCCAGATGTCAGCTGGGATTGGCTACAGCCCCCCACGATTGACAATGGATGGATTGTAGCTAGCTGCATTAAGTTGTTCTTGATAACATTAAATAGTCAAAACTACAGAAAAAAGTTTTAAAGTTAGGAAAAATTACTAAAACTAAAACTGTCATTGGCTTTGTCAGCACTGTGTGGGTGGGGTTTGATCAGATTTGCAAGATATTTCCCTCAAGAGTTAGTGGAGACCAAAAACAGAGCAAAAAGAAGACTAAATACATTCATCAGGTGACCAGAGACCTGACTCCAAATGTATGATTACACTGTTTTGTGTATTTGCTGGATGTGTAAATAACGAATTGTTAGCTCACAAGTGCTTTATATCAACTTGTGAACCAGCATATGCCAATGTTGTGTCCACTCCACAAATGGTTTCCCCAACTGCAGGTTTAAAGTTTAACATTGATTGATATATGCATACTGCAGGTTTACAGAAGAGAGTGGATGTTTGAAATATAAACTTAACATGTCCCTGTAGTTTTTGCTTTAGGTTTTAAACTCTCATTACTCACAATCAGGCGTGTAGACATAATTCCACCTGCGGCTCCTAATCTGTTTCCCCGCCTCCCTCTGCCTCTCCCCCAGACCCTCTGGTGAAAGTATAATATTTTGCATTTCTAGATTAGGTGAGATTCATGGTGCAGCAGATTTCCTATCTCAGTAAATGTGGATGGTATGTACACAGGAGCTCAACACTTCATGAAGGTGCCTGGGAGGAAAGCTGGCTCCATCACTCTCCCCTGTTCCTAACCCCAGAGAATCACAAACGCAATGAAAAAACATGACCAGCGGGGCTATACATGGGAATTTAGTCATTATATTGCACAAGGCAACAGTAACAACACAGATCAAATCTATATCTGTGTGCATATACCCTGCAGGTATTATACTGCTCATAAAAACACATAGGGCTCATGCTACTGCAGAGATCAACAAAAACTCTGATTACACAGGGAAAAACAGCAGCTATCTGTCATTCCACGTGTGACTTTCTTCTCTCATTTATACAGAACTTTTAATCAATTATGAATGTATGAATCAATTATGAATGCAGTTAGTCGTGTTCAGTGGGCAGTGTTGATGCTGAATTCAGTCTTTTATCTCAACTCCTCATTGCATTTCAGAAGGGGAATTGTGCATCAAGGAGGTTGTATCTTAAACACTCAGCTGTATTAACCCCATAAAAATCACTGAGGTACAAAGCAGAAGTACTTCACTGGAGCTTATGGAGGACGCCGCGTCACTGTTACCATGGCAACAGGGGCACCTGAAGAAGTGGTGGCGTGGTTAGATTATATGTGGGCATACTGAGTCTCCTAGTGTGTCCTTGCTAATAATAACAATAAAAAGTGGAATGAGCTTTTTCCTCACTTATTTGAAGAAACTGATATAACACAACCTAAGATGGTGAGCACGGTTAACATTTTTCTCTGTGGATGGCATTATCAGTGTCTGCCTTCTCAAGGTCTCAACAACTGTTAGATTCATTGTCATGACATTTTCTACATACATTCACGGTGCCCAGAGGATAAATCCTAAAGATTTTGTTTATCCCCTGACTTTTCCTCTTGGGCCACCATGAAGTTGACATTTGTGGTTAAAGGTTCAGTGTGTGGTGGGGGTTATGAATTGCAACAAATGAATCACTGTGCATTCACTTGCTCCTAGGACGACTATAATAAATGTATTAATTGTAATGGCAATTGTAAATTCAGCAGTATAAAAACTAACATTGTACCTTTTCTCCATGAAGCTGTAGGCTACATTATTTCAATTTAATTTCTAAATCCAACAACAAAAAGGCTGTGAAAACTGTCGACATATGGTCCTCTTTTAATGTTTATTTAATATAGACTACCTCTGGAAAAGTGTTTATTGTTTGTCTTTTTATATATTTGTATACTGTTCTGTATACTTCTTTATGTGCACTTTATTTCTCCTTTTTGCAGTAAAGATGTAAGGAGGAACAGTTGACATAGCTGAAAACATAGTTATGCATATTATATAGTATTTCTGTCAATAGATCCTCCTAAATAGTACACACTGAACCTTTAATACTGATGAAAGTAAATCTCAGGATAAATTGTAGAAAATTTGTAAATCCTCTGACTTTTTAAATAGTTCCATCATCAATTCAAAATTCTCATTGGTCTTTTATGACCAAAATGCTACAGTGGCCCTGAGAGGCCAACGCACTGCAACTTAAGAAAACACATTCAAATTCATCACAACACATTTAGACAACACAACACAACACGACACATTTAGACAACACGACACAACACATTAAGACAACACATTTAGACAACACAACACAACACATTTAGACAACACAACACAACACATTTAGACAAAACATTTAGACAACGAAACACAACACATTAAGACAACACAACACATGTAGACAACACAATGGAAGTGTTTCCAGGGGACCCCTTTAAGTGATGCACACAGCTAGCTTGTTTTGGTTGAACCTGTAACCTGAAGTACATAATGCCTTGAAATGACACACTCTGGGACAGTAGGGGGAGGTGTGCACCTAAACAAGGTGGTTGGATCCAGCAAAAAACCCAGAGAAGAAGAAGAATCTTGTTTTGGTTGTGCTCCCATGGTTTTGCAGCGGCAGTTCAAATGAAGCTAAAATGGAAGTGTTTTTTGGTCCTTTTAACATTGATATTGCATGATTGTGATATTAACTATTGCAGGTGTCTGTTGTTAAACTAGCGTTAGCCTTTTGCTAACAAACGTTTTCACGTGTTGTCAAAAACGTGAAAATGTGCTTTGTCTGCCTGACAAAATAAACATGATTGCCCTGTGCTATATTAGCTGGCTAGCGTGCTGGATTTGATTTCCATTGTAACGTTAGTCAGAATAAAAGTAAAACTTTGTGTGGTACAAGCTGTGAACTTTCAGTACACTTTTTCTGACTATGACAAGTCAAAATGTGTGCTGTGAATCAGAGGTTGCCTTAGATTTTCTTTTCTATTAATTTGACTGTCTTAATGTGTTGTGTTGTCTTGATGTGTTGTGTTGTCTTAATGTGTTGTCTAAATGTGTTGTGTAGTCTTAATATGTTGTGTTGTCTTAATGTATTGTGTTGTTTTAATGTGTCGTGTTGTCTAAATGTGTTGTGATGAATTTGAAAGTGTTTTCTTAAGTTGCAGTGCATTGGCCTCTCAGGGCCACCGTAAAATACCTGCAAAATGGATAACATTCTCATCAGCCTCAGTTGTATTTTGTGTTACGTGCTAATTAGTAAATGTTAGCATGCTAACACACTAAACTAAGATGGTGAACATGGTAACATTACACACAGCTCTGGAAAAAATTAAGAATTGATTAAAATAAATATTTTTGTTTTATTCTACAAACGTTCTGACGACATTTCTTCCAAATAAAAATATTATTTTAGGAAACTGGTCAAAATAACCAAAAAGATGCATTGTTTTCAGACCTAAAAATTTCATTTCAGCACAGAATACTAAAACTTTAACTTAGAAACAGAAATCAGTTTTGGTGGAATAACCCTGATTTTTAATTACAGCTTTCAGGCATCTTGGAATGCTCTTCACCAGTCTTTCACATTGCTGTTGGGTGACATTCCACTAAAATAATGCAGATTATCCTGATCCCAACAGAAGGGTGGATTCAGGGTGGATTTTAAGTTTTAAAATTCGCCAAATAATACAACATTTTTATCATGTAGTAGCCTATATATACACATTTATTTATATTTTGCACTTGACTTTATTAAACTTTACAGTGATAAAGTAGATAAAGTAGATATTACCTATTAAGCCATTCAGGACAGTAAAGTGAAGATTTTAACAATCCCCCAAACAGCTGTCAATATAAAACAAAAAAGTTTATTTAAACTGTCACTTATTACTGTACATTAATTACAAAGGCAGAATCATCAGAGGCGAACCATTCAAAAGTAGTAACAATTGCATCCCTCATTCTCAGATTGCCTCCTGAAAGCTAAAGCCTATTCTCTGAACTCTGAATGATCTTTATTTTAACTATTGGACAGCACTCAAAATATCCACAGTGTATGTGTGAATAATGCATATTTGTTTGCTTTTCTTGGATTTGTTGTGGGCCAGATGGTTTAACTGTTTAAATAAATTGAAAAGGAAGGAAATGTTTGCGTTGTTTCATTGTGTTTTCTGTCTCTTTAAATTAAAGTGACCCCACGCTGGCTGTTCTACCTGTTGGTCTTTATATCATTAACAGCCTACATTATCATATGTAGGCCCATTTAGAGCACTGGAAATCTGGATTTGGTAATCCTGAAAAGTTTGTATCTAGATCAGAGTGATCCAATCCTATGTTGAGGGGTTACGTGATCCTGGATAGCAAAACATGGGATTTCCATTAAACAACTGGGCCCTGGAGATTGGGCTGGCCATGACAGGGTCTTGATCTGGTCGACACCTTGATTGACCGGACTTTGTGGCATGGAGCATTGTCCTGCTGGAAAAAACAATCCTCATAGTTGGGGATCATTGTCAGAGCAGAAGGAAGCGGGTATTATTCCAGTATAACCTTGTACAATGTTTGACTCATCCTTCCTTCACAAAGACAAATCTGCCCAATTCCAGCCTTGCTGAACCACCCCCAGATCATCACCGATCCTCAACCAAATTTCAGTGGTGCCAGACACTGTGACTTGTAGGCCTCTCCAGGTCTCCGTCTAACCCTTAGATGACCAGGTGTTTTGCAAAGCTGAAAATTGGACTCATTAGAGAAGATGGCCTTACTCCAGTCCTCTACGGACCCTTTTCAAACTTTAGCCTGGCTTGTCTTTGCTTTGTGACGACCCCTCCCAGGCACGTGTCCTGTGTCTGTGTCCTGTCTCTTTGTGTTTGTCTTGCAGGATGTGGTTCTGGGAGGTCGTGATCAGCTGCATGAGTTACACCTGGGCCTGAGTGGGTGGGAGCTATAAAGCTCACCAACTTTTTGTCTTTGGTCTCTCTCTCATCGCGGATGCAGCTGCTGTTTGCTTTTTTCTGACTTTCACACTTTATTATCTTTGTTAAATATTATTTTTGTAAATAAACTGTTACTTTTTTCATGCAAGCCTGTCTTGTCTCCCATCTTTGCCACAGCCAAAGAGCCGGGCTGTGACAGCTTCTATTGATAAAGGGCTTTTTTCTAGCTTTGCATGACTTCAGCCCTGCCCCTAGGAGCCTGTTACGTTCACTGTATCCTTCTGGCAGTAAAGCCAGAATTGAACCCTTCTTTTCCTCACTCAAAACTTTTCTTTTCAACTCTTTTGGCAATTCCTTTTTTTGTTCAGATTACCTTTGAGGTACTACTATCACTGTTTTTGGTTTTTATACTTTCCCTCGTTAAATAAGATTTATCTCAGGCGATCACTTAATCAGTACCTCATTAAGTAGAATAAGGTGTGCCTGTGTTGGAATTTAACAGCCACTGGAAGGGAATGGCTGCCGTACATGTAGAGATACTGATTTAAGACAAATAATATATATGAGTGTTTTTTCCCCCCAGAGCTGTATTATAGTGAGCAAGTTAGCATGCTAGGGTTTGCATCAAGCTTAAAGTACTTCTAAGCCTGTAATAGCCTGCAATCCCACAGAGCTTTTGTGAGACTCTGGCTGTAGACTCTTCTAGTCTTGTTAAAGGCGAATCTGACCAATTATTGTAGTTTTGCTTGTATTGTTGAAGGAATACCTCCTAAACACCATTATTTCAGTTAATATGGACAAGGACTCCTAACCCAGTGAGTTTTCTGAACATAGACTGTCTAATAACTAATTTGTTTACCCTGCAGAAGATCGAGCACCCCAAATTATCATCATGACCGATAAAGAAACACATACACAGCGCTCTGTACACCAATTACTTTTTTCACATCTTTCATCTGTGATTTATTTTGATGCTGTTTAGCTTTGAAATTTTCTTGCCACACTCTGCTGGAACCATGCTGTTTGTTCTCATTTTGAGCTAGGTGATTAAAAGGCATCATTCAGCAATATTCTACAATTGTTTAGTCTATGGGCAGTGAAGTAAAATAGAAATGGGAACATACTTTAATGCTACTGCTAATGCTGCCACTGCGAACAACAACCTTACGGTCTCATTTATCAAGTTAATGTAGCTCAAGTTGTAGCTGAGATATTGGTTCAAATGCTTTAAATCCTGTGTGCTCTCACTCTCTCAAGCTCAATTTTGTGTGTGCCATCATTCCCTCTACAACATCCTTTTTGTCTGCTTGTTATTTTACTGTTCTGAAGAGACTGGGAGAGGAAATTAACTTCTTCACAAATGAAACACTTAATGGTGATCTAATACAACAAGCTATTACCCAAAATACACTTGATCACCATGTCTTTCCATCAATTCATTCCGTAGTTATTGCACAAAAAGGAAGTTCAGTGCACCTTACAGCACAATGGTACTAAAAAAAGATGGTCAGACACATGCCTGAATCATGTTTTATGTACAAAATACATATATTGTTGCCTGCTTCCCATGGATTGTATAAAACAGACTCTTTTCTATGTTTAAATAAATGCCGTGGGAGGTAAAAGCATCACCTTCAGTCCAGCAGAGGGCAGCAAACGCTGGGTATAAAAACAATAAGCATGGAGACTCACATATTTACTTTTTAGTTAACCTTGATATCTGCATTCATACAACAGCTGAGGGCTTCCAATCTTTAGTTTCAAATGTGGCGTCTACTCACCTTTATCATAAAGATAAGGAAATTGGATGTCTGAATTTGTGGTCCCTAGCAGGAAGACTATATAAACTTGGTACAAAGTATTTTATTGCAAAGGTTTGAAATACTACAGTACATTTGTGGTTATAGTTCAGACAAAAGGGCTAAAGAAAAAAGGTAACAAAAATAAATACATCTGCATTGACAGATATGTGATGAGTTGAATTTTGGGAACTGTAAGTTCCATCTTTATTTTTTTATTTGACTATCTGAAATTGTGTGACTTTACAATATAGTGTGTCATCTCTTATGGATAACTACAAAAAGTCAAGGCTTGCCTTTTTACATTATTGTGTTGTCATGAAATGGCTGTAATAAAAATAAAATTCATACTGTATGACTTTTCTTTTGTCAAAGCGCCTCTTAGGAGTTTGAAGTCCATTTTCATAAGAATATCTTTCCAACAGTAATATTTCACTAGTTTTTGTGATAGAAAAACATGTGTAGACGGTATCTATGGCATCTCAACCATGTGCCAATGATGTAAAACAAACTGGTTTCCTGGGTATCATAGACCACAGAATGAACAGCAATACATCACTCAAAACCTTCATCCACCAATAATTTCAATTCTGGTGGTCACAACTAAAACTTTACACCTAAACTGCAGTTCCAGAGGTGCAGTCACTCAACACATATGACGAGAAACAAGAACCCACAGCTTGTAACAGAGCAATTCAAAAGCACCGTTGTCATCCTCCACTCATTCATCTCATGCAATGCAGAGCCCCAAGTGTGTTAGAAAATAACCAGTAGCCCAGAAAACAAGTTTTAAAAGACTATTGAAAAGTGTAATAATCACTTTCTAGCAATAGAAATGCTGATTCTTCCATTTACATCCCAACATTGGAGTTTCTGTCACTTTAGAAATAGTATCACACTAATTACAAAAACAACAAAAACTGTGGAATAAAGGAAAAACAATGCCAACTGTGTCTGAATTACACAGGACACAGTGTGGCCTGGAAAAATAAGTGAGGGAGAATCCCTCTGTTGTACATAAAGAAAAAAGTGCCAAAAAGAGTTCATAGTTGATCCTTCATATTGTTTGGTCTGTCCTTGTCTATTCATTTTTAGCAGTGTCCTCCTCTTGCCCAGTCTGTTAAAGCGTGTGTGTGTATGTGTGTGTGTTTTGGAGAGTTCTGGCGGACTGGAATGTGCAGGGAACTTTGTGTTTTAAGCAAGGGTTCTCTGTCTTGGCTTTATTCTGGGGTACAGCTGTTGGAGACAACAAAAAGACATGTCAACAATGCACATTTGTGCATAAAATAAACACATTTCATCATTCATTACAGTTTCAGTGACTCATGGCTCACCCCGAGGAGGTTGCGGGGAATGTAACCCTCAGTGTCGCCCATGCGTGCCCACCACCATTCAATCTCGTCCTCGTCTTCTCTGCGGACTATGGTCATGCAGTCTCCCTCACGGAATGGCAGTTCATCAGGGTTTTCACCACTGTAGTCCCACAGACCGTAGACCACTCCCCTGTTCATGATGCCCATCTTCTCTTGCACACCTGATCAGCACAATAAGATTTCACGTGTAGTCAAGACAAAAAATATATACACAGCACACAATACAATTTAAAATGGACATAATCTATCTATCACACAAAATTTGCACAATTTGGTGGAACATGGCTCGTGGGCTGCTTTTTAGGAGGCGCTTGCAAGCCATTTTGCCATGCCTATGTGCGAAAACCTTGAATTGTGTGCAAATTTTCATGAGTTTTCGAGCATGTTTAGGCTGCCAACAATGCGATTCATTTGCAGAAAAATAATTCCTTGCATTTCAATAGGGTCCTCGCATGTTTCATGGTTGGGCCATAAAAAATAAAACGAACACTGCATGCATAACAGAAAAGCAAAAATCAAAGAAACAATAAATAATAAAATAGCTGTCACTGACCATAGAGGAACTGAGAGCACTGGGTGTAGCCGTCCTCCATCTCTTCACATTTATCAGCTGCCGTTTGCATGTCGCTGTAAGTCATAGCAAACACTGCGGCGCCAGACTCCACCAGGAACTTGCACACTTGCACATTGTTGCAGGATGCAGCACAGTGGAGAGGTGTCCTATGTTAGAGGGTGGGTGAGTAAGGAAAAGGAACAGGAGGCAAGAACAGAGGAAAGGGGAGAGGGAAATACACAAATCACTATAGACTAAGACTAGACTTTCAAAATACTGACTTTGCTGATTTAAATTTAAACATCCTATATCAACCATGTCATTAGTGAACTGGAACTCACCAGCCGTCACTGTCAGCAGCATTGACATTGACACCGAATTGAACCAGGAACTTAACAATCTCTGTATGTCCGGCACAGACAGCATTGTGTAGAGCAGTGATGCCTTCATCGTTGGGCTGACTGGGATCCTCCACCTGTGATTGAGAAATTACAAGGGGCGAAAAGGAGATAAACTCAGAGTCAGCAAATAGTTAACAGCCTTGTTTCCATTAACGTTCTTTAATGCGCATTTTCAAGTATCGCATTATAAAAGGTTAATGGAAACGGCAAAATTTGAAAACAAAAAAAACCCCAACTTGATCTTTCTTGCAAAACTCTGCATAACACCGGATATTCCCATAACGAGCGGAGACGTGGCTGGCACCTTTTCTGAGGAAACACATTTCTGAGGACCTCTCTCCATTTTTCTAAGATCAACGGCCATCAGGTTCACGTGACTGGTTTTGTTTCTGGTTTGGAACCCATACGTCTTGTTTATTACAGCCATGTGTAACGTCAACTACTGACGTAACCACGCTTGCCGTAGCCTGGTTTATTCCCTCCTTTTTCCTCTTTTTTGCGACATTTCAAAAGTACGCTTAAAATTTGCATGACAATTAGATGGAAACATGGCTAAAGACTGAGTGACTAATGTAAACTTCTATGATATAATGGTAGCTAACTAACACAGCAGAAAATATGTTATAATACATAGCAAAGTCTTACTTCATAGATGATTCTCTGGACCAGGTCATACTCTCCTTCCAGGGAGGAGTCCAGCAGCAGAGCCAGTGGGTTGAACTTCACTCGCATGCTGTGATCGATGCGTTCAGAGTTAGGCTTGCGCAAGTTGGTCCTCTTTCCCTAAAGTCACAATCATGATCATGCATCACACAAATAATCTCAAACAGCCATTACAACACAGAGAAGAGAAATGTACATCTAAGACGTGACGTCTGTCCTGCTGAATGTCCTCACTCCGCTGTGTTCAATCTGGACTAAGAGCAGAGGAGGGACTTGTTTTCCAGCTCCAAGTGCATTACTAATCCAGTTTATCAGCACAAGCTAAAAAGTAACAAATTCATTTCTCTGAAACCATGATTATGCAACCAAACGGGTCTTAAATGGACGTGACTAAAAGAGGGAACCTGGGGTGGGGGACATGGGTCAGAACATTGATTCCTCTTTGGTTTGCGCTTTTTGAGTAAAACCTGGCCCCTCACCATAAAACCCACTTTAGAGGGTTCACTAAGAGCTTAACAACGAGAACATGTAAACTGGTGTTTATTTACAACCCAGAATGTGTCTAAGTAAATAGGTGAAAGTGGGGAGGGTATCCGCTTAGCGTAAGCAGAAAATGGCCCATTTTCTCCAGAAACAATAGAAGTACTTGATGGGAGGGATTATCTAATTATACAACATTGGACCAGGCCACTGCTATTAACCAGCAGTCCATTAAAAAGTACACTTTGTACTGTAACTCATGACCTGCCCCTGTGGAACTAACAAACATGTGAGGGGATTTAATGTTGCATAAAAGCAAACAAGGGGAATATATACTATGGACTTAAGACAGTGGTGACCCATTATATCACTCAAAACAACAAAAAACACAAACAAGAAAACTCGGAGCCATATAATAATTGTGATTTGTCATTAGCAATTTAAGATGGTGACTCATACCGGTGGCAGAGTGACCTGGCCAGTGACCTCAGGAGCCTTCATGTTAAACGTGTCCTCTCCCAAGCTGTCCTGCTCTGCTCCACTGGGGTATGGGGGTGGTGGATAGGGGGGGAACTCTTCCAGGAAGCCCTCTGGAGGTGGAGGGGGCAGGTTGGGCATTACGTCCTCCAAGCCAGCAGGTGGTGGTGGTGGTGGGAAAAGAGTGTCATCTGGTTTGGGAGCTGGGTGGGATGGGGGAGGAGGGGGGACAATGTCTTCTCTCTCTGGGATGGCTGAAGGTGGTTTGGTCTGTTCAGCAGGGGCTGGAACGTGGACATTAGGACCTGGGATGTGACCAGGACCTTCCAGAGTCTGTCCTGTCTGTGATGGGTGGTTCTCGGCCCCACTCAGAGGGCTTGGAACGAGTGGCCCCACAGATCCCTCCGGCGACTTCTCTGCTTCACCAGCATAGGCGGGAGTAGTTGGTGTAGTCACAGTGGTCTCCATAGCTGCCAGTGTGGTCTTCTGGTAGAGGAGTTTCTGAATGTTGGGCCCTGCAGGCCCCTCTGGTTCAGTGATGGAGCTGCGTTTCTTCAGGGGCCTCGGGGCATTGTAGAGCTTCTTTCTCAGGGCTTCCAGGTCACCATCACTCTGATGCCTGTAGGGATTTGAAATGAAGGGAAGCAGCTTGGTGGGGCTGAGGGGCCGTGGGATGCGCTCCGTTTCTGGTTGAGGGCCGTCAGTTGAGCTGTGACCCACGTTGTTGGCTCCATTTACCTCAGAGTCTAGGGAAGGGGATTGACGCTCCAGGTAAGGGTTCTCTGGATGTGGGGAGCCTCCACTGGGGATCACTGGTTTACCGTACACTACAAATAAAGATGGGAAACAAGTGTTAAGACTGCAATTTCAACAGAGATAATACCACAAGCACATTAATAGCCTGATGACTGATCCTTTTTTCTCCATCACTTACTGTATAAAATTACTTTCATAGCCAGATTTCACTACTCCTTCTTAATTACAAGATGGAGCCACATTACCATGCCCTAAAACTCATGATCACAAAATAAAAATCATCATGATAAGTATTTATTGAATGCTGGATTTAAGCCTTTTTTGTTTTGACTTCTATGCTTATTTAGACTTTCACATTAAATTTCCACAATCCCAGTCAGAAGCAGCAGGTCTGGTTGCCTGTGAATGTGTTCGAAAAGGGAAGCTGTAACAGATGGCTTTGCCTCTGGCTGCTCCTCTGGTCAGTGACGTGTGAATATTTTCCTGTAGAGTTTGCCGAAGAGAACGGCAGCAGGGCAGATTAACCTGACAGGGAATACATCTTGAGTGTCACAAGATACTTTTTTTTTTTTAAACTTTGTTTATGTTTAAACATTACGGCAGCATTAGTCTTCAGATTTACTGTTCATTACACTCAAAAGGATACTTCAGCGGCTGACATGTAAACCTGAAGATTGGCATGTGTACAGATATGCATGTCTACATGCAGCTGGAGCTTCTTCTAAGACAACCCTCACAGACATAAGCTTAGACTAAGCAGTAAGCATGAAGACAAACAACAAAGAGAAAGGATGTGTTCATGATCAGACAGACTACTAATATTGAGTCTACTATCCAGGAACCCAAAGGAGAATGACCACATCTGTCACCTGAACAACACTCCTCAGGCACTTAAAAAAAAGATACAAATGGATATTCTTACCACTGATAAATCCATTGGTGCGGCTCTGAGACCTGTTGAGAGCACCCTGCACAATTGGCAGGAAGGGCTTCCCCGAGCCAGGCTGTTGTGTGTACATGGAGTAAATGGAACTGGCCGCTAAGGTCTGCGGCTTGCTCAGGTTGGGGTCTTTGGAGGAGGGCAGCTCTGGGGTGAACGGCCGTACCGTGGCTGCAGGTGGAATGTCTTGCTTAGAAGGTAGTGGGAGTGTCTGGCTCTGTGAGGGTGGGAGAGGGCTGCGACCCTGGGCAGCCAGGGGCTGCTGGCTATTGGGCTTGGTTTTGGGGAAGGTGCCTGTGTTGAGGCTTGGTTTGCCATAGGGCATGACACCAGGGCCTTTAGGTTTGGTGGGCACAGGTGGAGGCACCTTGACTGGAGCCTTGGGAGCAGACTGGAGACATGAGGAGACAGAGAGATAGCAAATTAGATGCCAGGGTGTATTACTGCTGGAAATAAACAAATCTGGCAAGTGATTTTTTTCCCTGTGAGGATGTAAGGAGTGTGTTTTTGTTCCCTCTCACCTGAGCGTCCCTGACCAGGTCATCACTGCTCTGGTTTTTGCGGAGGGAAGTGGTGGGAGCCTCTGTTGGCTCAAACATAGAAACGGGACGCACCCTCCTGTCCTTCTTCAGTTCCGTCTCATCTATTCACAGACCACATGCAGAGGCAGTAATCAGTTTCGTCTCATAAGCCACTTTGGAAACTTTTGTTTTGATTCATCAGTGGTTACCGTTTTACTGTGGTTACAGGAAGGTACTGCAGCGCAGTTTCTGTGGAAATGCTGTGTGTGTGTGTGTGTGTGTGTGTGTGTGTGTGTGTGTGCGTGCCTTACCTTGTTCTGTGTTAGAGGTGGAGTGAGAGGTCATTCGTGGCAGTGTTGAAGATGAACCATGACCGTTTGTTTTGAATTCTGGACTTGAAGAGCCAAAGTCTGACAGCTTGGATGGCTGAAGGCCTGGGGGACCCACAGGACGCAAAAAAAAAATAGAGGCAGGGATTGTTTAAATTTTAGCATGAACTGTAAGATTTTACATAGAAATAAAGATATAAGAAAGTACCAAAACTAATAGTGGAGCTTCAGGCATTATTTATCCAGATAAACACAAAGTTCACAGAGTGTGTATGAAAATGAAAAGTGGATTTTGCAGAAGTTTGCCTCCCTTGTTACTCATCTTTTTTTTGGTTGATTGAAAAAGACCCAGCCAGTGGCCGTGAATGTCCACAGACATCTACAGTCACGTGAGCCCCAAAAGCATGGGGCTCTTGCAACTAGCAAGATCAGCATCACATCAAGGACGGCAAAAACACCATAATTTCCATCACAGTGCCTGAAGACTGTAAATGGTCCTATTCAAGAGGTGTGGTACAAAAACACCAACACACACACACACACACACGCAAATATTGCGAACAAGACTTGACTGGGTTGGCCAGAATCCACGCAGAATTGTCAGTTCAACTGAAGGTTATGTGTTTGTTCCAACTGACCCATTTAGAGGGGCAGAAAAAGAACTGAGGAGAAAGCTCAAAAAACACGCTTTAACAATCAGCAGCAAAACAAGCAAACAGGACCAAAGATCCAGCTTGGATGATGAAAATCTTTTCATCTTTTTCAGTGAGATTTATTCACATGAAAAATGAACACATTAAAACGAAGCCACAAACACAAGTGTGTACCTTTTCTCTTAGCCCGTAGCTCTTTCAGAGGCTTAAGCAAGAACATGGCTTCTGAGGATGATGCATTCAAAAGACAAGAAAAACAAAGTAGCCTTAGAGCTGCAGATCTCACTTGGCTCTAGACATGCAGTTGGTTGGGCTCAGGCAGGGGCCCCCCAGTGGGGGGACACAGAGACCAGCACAACCCCCAGGAGCCTGCCTGATACTATGCACAACATCCCGGATAATCGGTGAGCAGATTCCTCTGCGTCCCCGCCCATCTCTATCTCTCTTCTTCCCATGCTGCAAATCAACTCAGCACGCACAAATAATTGCGTGCAACCTCACTGGTGTGTGTAGGAGCGCATGAGAAAGAATTACTGCATAGATGATGGCACAAAGAACATCTTTAGGTGGGATATGTTGCTCCGGCCCTTCAATGGTTTGGCCAAACTCCATTCCCCACAATTACACAGCACACATGCAACTACAGTGCGTGGGGAGAGGATGCTGGTGCAACTACAGCTTATAAACAAAGAAGAAGAAAAAAAAGAAATAACTGACTTTATTTGGTCTTTATTTTGTAGCACAAAGAAGTTATTCTGTAAATGTAACTTTTAGATCAGGCATGCTGTGTGTTCAAAATCAATGTCAGACTTTCATCCGTCTTTTTCGGATTTCAAAACAGGTTTTTACATCAGTAGTTAGTTCTCATAAAAAGTCAGAACTGACCTTCTGAAAAAAAGATCTACTGTCTCCCTGTGTAAACCAACAGTGGATTGTTTGATTAGAAGGCTCAAGATGCTGAGAATGGATATGAACCAAGCAGCAAAGATCACTGATGAATGCTGAAAGCTTCATATTTTGTTGTTTCATATCTGTTTCATATTTCTTTACAGTCTGGTTCTTACAGTGAGCATTAATTTGAAACATATGGTAATTTGTCTATAAATAACTCCCTACACACACTTAAGACTAACATAGTGTGAGCTGAAAGGAAGGATGGCACACAGAGACACACACTGCGGCAATAAAAACAAAAACAAAAAATCAAATACTGGTTCACTCACTGCAAAACATGTCAAAAGTTCATTAGAAAATGTCAGCATAATGGAAAAAAGACTGATGTAAGGGCTCAGAAATACCAGGCCACAACACACCATCCAGGAGGTAACTAGCTACCTTCTGAGCTCAGAGTGACATCGCAACCAGCAGACTCCTTTGCTCCTGCTGGAAGCAGGACAGTCTTGTCACATTTCAGTTAAAAAACAAAAATACCAAACTCCATGATGACATATACAAAGAAACACAAGGAAGTTGAGGACTCTTTGTTTCCTTATATCATTCATTTTTACTAATTAAATTAAATGTAAAATGACAGAAAGGACAAAGTGAAGTGTAGGCCTGCTGCCAAGACGCCCCCGCAGAGATCTAAGTTAGAAAGGAAAAGGTTTGAGTTAAAAGCTGGTGTGCTGTCACTGGTTGCTCACCTGTGCCAGCCTTGCTCTGCGGGTCGTAGGCTGGAAGAGTGGCAGTGCCGTCTGGGTAGGCTGGTTTTACAAGCAGGTCGTGCCTCACTGGGCCCCGGGGCATTGTGGACGACTGGATGTATGGGCCAACTGCTGCCACACGAGATGGACCTGACTGCTGCCCGGCTTGGCCATCAGAGGGCAGCTGTACAGTGAAATGGTAGGAGAGAAAAACACGAGGATGTAAGAGCTGCAAACGTCAGTGAAATTAATTTTAAATTATCTTTCATTATTGTAGACAGCAGAGAGAGACAGCACAATATTCAGACACAAACCAACCAACCACAGACCAAAACTTTATCTGATGTTTTGGTAATGATACAAAAAAAAGAAAAAAAAAAAAAACTGTTGAGATCGAGATGAGTACAGAAAGCATGCTGAAAGTATTGTTAATACTGACGTGCTAAAAGTCTATAGCAGCTCTCAAAGGCTGTAATTTTCGTCACAATGACAAAAAAACAAAGTTGTATTATGAATGAAAAATGGTGAGATAACTTCAATATTCTTAGATTATTGCTACTTGTAAACTTTGGCCTGAGGGTGGTGCCAAAGGGGCCATGATAGAAGTATTTCTTCTGGTTAGTGTGGAAGTCTTCAAAGATTTGCACGGCAGTCTTGTGAGTGGGGTGCTAACAAAACGCTCATTACAGTAAGAGGTTTGAGGTGTACTGTCATGAAGTGAAGTCTGGGACAAGTGGAATGTGAGCTCTCCATCTTGGACTGGTGATGTAAAATCCACACAGACAGTAAAACCTCTTACTTTGCTACTTTGTCATAGACAGAACATCTTACAGAAGCAAATAAATGCCTTTATGCTGTACAAACCCAACAAACAGACAGACTTCATCCATCTTTCAAAATTTAACTCAACCCCTGGACAAAAACCTATCCTACAGCTGATGACATAATGACAAGCTGACCCTTTAACACAAGATGAACACGGCTCACTTTGCCTATCAATGAAGTGCCAAGTCACACTGAAGACGTCAGATCAGAAAGAATAGAGACACATTATGTTCAGCTCCAATACTAGTTTAGTTACCTGAAGATGAGTGTCTTTTGAAGCCCTCTCTTTACCAGGATAGCCATTCTTGAGAAAAAAAAAAAAAAGCACAAACATGCAACAGCAGTTCAAAATACCAAATAATCCCCTTTTTTCTAAGCTAATATTGGCATTTTCTGAGTGTTTCAAGAGCTATGTGACTAAGACGGTGCAGGATGACTCTAGGCTGGCAGCTCTCAGACTACCTCGCTCTAGTCAGTATGCTTATACGTGCTTGTTGGATGATGTCAGCCAGACGCTTGCTGTTCGGCTGGAGGAGAGAGCTGTTTGGATGGAGTGTGTCTTTGTGCTTGTGTGAAAAAGAGACACTCATTATGATTCCAGGCAGGGTGTGGGTAAATCACCTCCTCACTACGCCCTATTCAGGCCTTCATCTTTAAAACACACACACACACGCATGTACCTTTCTTGGTTCTGTTCCTACTTTATTATACATATGTCAATGGTACATCAAAAGAGAAGTTGGGCTTTTTTTAAAGTTAGAATAGGGTGCAAGTTGTTCCTTTATCTAAAAGGCTTCCTTCCAGCAGAGCTAAAGAAGGACATGTTAAAACCCCCATTATAACATTTATTATTCTTATGTTCTAACTTAAAGACCACTTTAGATCTTGTACACTGCATTTGCTTAGTAAACAATGCATGCTGCATACGAAAGAGGCAATTTTTGAATACAACACAGAAAAAAACTTTTCTGATGGCATTGAATACAAACAGCTTTGTGCTTTGCATTACAAAGTCATGAATCAGCATTAAAATAATAATAAAATCAATATAGGTGGTTAATTGGTTGAATGTTAATTTAGTTGAAAGTAAGAAAGTTAATGGTGAAGGCCAATGAAACACCCTAATTGTGTCCGAAAGGAAGTCGACCTGATCAAAAAAAACATACAAAAAAAAAAAAGAAATGACTGTACAGAGGAGGGTGAAAACATAAAATCATCCAATCAGAATGATTATGTTTTCTTTTTGCCCAACTTTGCATCCTAAACAAGCATTCAATCGCAAGAAGTGAGCATGTTCACTTTCTTCCTCACAGTGTTTCATAGACAAGTCTGTTGACTCTTATTTACAGTCCCATGGCAACCTGTGTTCAAAATAACTCCTGGACAGGGGAGAGAACAGCAGAGGAGTAGGGACACGCCAGGCAGCGAGCTTAAAGCCAAAACCTTAACCTTAACCTAAAACATTCATTATAGTTAGTACAAAGACTGTCATGTATTTTGTCATAAAACATGTTTTGAAACACCAATGTTTTTTAGTGAGATAGTTGTTTGCCTTTAGCAAACTGGTTATCTGCCATTTCCTGTTTCTGCCAAGAGTGCAGCCAGAAAAGATAGCATCTCCCCTGACATTCCTGCCTGTCTGTGATGCCTGCACTCATTACTCTTCTCTCATCTTCAGGAACTGTTTCTGCCAAATGGGACTGAAAACACAGCCGAGTAAAGAAGTTTGGGTGTAAACTCAGATGCAGCTCTGTGACATGATCAGAACAATGATCAATCCCCACAAGCTATCTCAGATAGTGAGATCAAAGAATGGAAAACGGCGGATAGGAGATGACTCTTTCGAGTGAGGGGGTCACTTGGTTTTCCCCACACAGAAGATAGTGAGGTTAAGCAGCCTTACGTTGGCATTGGTGACCTCTGAATACCGGGGCATCTGAGGCTTCCAGAGGTAGAGAGAGGTAGAGAGAACAGCCTTCATTATAAGGCCACTAGGGGGAGCACCGATCAAAACAATTTCCATCACTTATTTGTAGATTTAAACATAAATAGTGGCCTTAAAAAAAAAATAAAAAAAATAAAAATAGAAATTCATCTATATGAACACTTTTCACAAAATATAAAAGATGATATGTGAGGCAGTTCTGTATGAGGTTATGTGAATGTTTTTTGAATGTCTATGCTACTGTGGTGTTATAATACTTACAGGCAAGTTCTCTTTCTGCTGCAGCGCTGCCTTCTTCTTCCACAGCCGATCTCGGAGCTCACTGATCCGTTTGTCCATGGAAACCACCTCCAGGTTGCGCTTGTTCAGGCTCTCTCTCTGCTGCTGCAGCTTAGAGTTTTGATCTTGGTTGAGCTTGTTCCTCAGCTGACCACCGAGAAGGACAAGACAGAAGAGAAGTGTTCAACAATGGTGCTCATTTAAAACAAATATTGTCTCTGGAGCTCAATTTTGTTTAGGTGTTTTGAATTTAATTTAGTAGAATATTATTTTTGCACACCTGTAGCTCCTTGTAGAGGCGGTCTAGTTCAGCCACAGAGCTCTGGTTGTCTTGGAAGTTGTCCATTTTGCCATTTTTGAGCAACTCCAGCTGCCGGTTGAGCTCCTCCACCTTGGATGCAGCCATCACTAGTTCTCTCTGCTTCTGCTGGAACAGGTTATTCATCTGCTCTATCTCCTCCACTGGAGAGGGAGAGGGGTTGGAGAGAAGTGGGAGGTGGAGAGAGGGAACAACAGGTAGAGAGAAAGGTGTGTGAAGATGATGGAGGCAGGGAGGTGACAAGAATATCATGAAGACAGGAAATAGATTAAAACCAAATTGTCAGTGCTTCCAGTCATACAATATTCTGAGCGGGCATCCACTCATGAATGTGAAAGTTTGTGAGCCTACCCAGTTTGCCGTTGCTGAGGCGCTTCTGCTCCACCTGGCCCTTAAGGGCGCGGACCTTCTTGAGCCGAGTTTCCTGGTTCTCAATGTTCTCTCGAAGGCGCTGCAGCTTCTCCTGCTCAGATGCCTGCTGCTGCTGACGCTGCTCCTGCTGCTTCAAGTAGCGCAGCCTCTGCTCCTGGAGACACAAATGAGAGGAGAAAGAAAGCATTAAACAATTAAACAAACACATCCCTATTAACTTGTATTTATGAGTAATCCATGGAGGAGTATCCTTTCCTGAACAGCTACTGTCAAAGTGTCTGACAAGGCATTGAACTACATACTCTGGTAAGATGTTTAGGGGACAGCAGTGAAGGGTATCCTGTGATATTATTGACATGCCTGGTTAAATAAGGGTTAAGAAATCATTCTGTGGAGTTCAACAGTGCTGAACTTTCAAGATCAAACATCAGTCGTGGACTATGACACAGTGTGCTGTACACCTGATCGAGCTCTCATAAACAGGTTCCAAGTTGAGCACAACACAGTATCCATCAGGAAATGTTCCAGGTGATGTGTGCTGATGGTAATGCCTGTTTGCTTACTCGACCAGTGTGCAAGAGCACCGCTTGAAGATACATTCCTTGGCTTGCTGTATTATCCTCTGGCATACACATGCAACAGTTGCTTGGATCGGAATGCTAAAGTGGGTCAAGGACACAGGTTGCTGCCTGCGCGGCATATTTAAGTAGGTACACAAAGAGAAAGACACAAGTTAAGTTTTAGTTAAGTTTATACAATACACGTCTGTATCAGCAGACATTTTTAGGTGTCTCTGCAAGAACCAAAAAATGTGTAGGAGGAAAAACGGCCCAGCCAAGATTGTAATTAATGTCACGCCTGTTTTCTGTCAAATGTCTTTCATCACCAAATCCTGAGCAAAGTGAGAAAAGAGTTCTTCTAATACCAGATGAGTCCTGCCTAGAGACAATCCAAGATAGGCAGCTGTCTCTACTCACTACACCTGCAGCTATCCACAATTCATCTCACCTGTCTATCACAACCACCACATGCACTTAATATTAATTTCCATAAGTGCACTAGACTTGTTTTAGTACCTTTGTTTCGTGTACCATCTCCCCACTTTCTGCTGATAACCCCCTCTTTAATCTTGCCCCATTATTTTGTCTCTCCTCCTCTGACTTTTACTTTCATCTCCGCCACTTAACCTCTTCATCCCCTGTATCAACCCATCTCTCTACCAGTCCCCATCTCCCCTTTCATCTTGCACTTATTCTTTATGCACCTTGGAAGCAAGGAGTTCTTGTTGAGATTCTATCTGTTGCTGCTGTCTGGCAGCCATCTCTTGTAGTTCGGCCAGTGTCATGTCCATCCGGGGTGTCACCACCTGCGCAGGGATAAATAGAGGGACAAAGGACAAAAGAAAAACACATTGATCCTTGTGTTGGTATAAAAGTGTAGCCTTGAAGTCAGAAGAGCAGAAGCAGCAGACGTTTTTTTTTTTCAAAAGCCAATTGAGAGATTAGAGGTGCATCAAAATCCCTTTAAAAAAAAAAAAAAAAAAAAAAAAAAGGACAAATGTAGGCCTTTTTGTGGATTCAGGATTTGTAATACATTTATTTACCAGAAAGTGACATTCTCAATTTAATAATTATCTAAACAGTCATGCCCATGTTGTTATGTACTGATTTAAAAAAAAAATGTATTTGCATTTATACACTGCAGGGTGTTTTTGAATTATAATTTATTTGTACACCTTGGCAAATAATCAAGTCGGCTTGTTGTTAAGTATGAAGAAAGATACGAGGTCACAGAATTTAAGTTAAAACTAAAAGATTTGACCCACATAGACCAGAATGAAGTACAAATGCAAACATCTTGGTGGTGATGCATCAAAATACCCTCTATCTGCAATGAGTGCTTGAAGATATAACTATAGTTCTATTGTTATTCCCAAGAGGTGCCGTAAATAACACTTGTGAGAACAGTCCTAGGGCTTTTGTTCTTCTTCTTAAATTAAAAAATAAACATATTTGTGTATAGGTATGGATAACATTACAATGTTAAACTGTCTCTGGTAAAATATCACATGTAGGATATATCTTCTCTATTTTACTGACCAATAAACATGTTATTCTGGAAGCATCCTACTAAATGCATTTCAAATAGTCTGAAAAGAAGATGCAAGAACTCACCCCATTCTCCATTCTTCTGTCTGGAGGACCCTTCACTCCATTCCTCTTTGGTTCTGAGCCTCTTGACCCACCTGAGTAACAAACACGATAGAGCTTCATCTAAGGCGACTGCATCAGTTTACTCCAAACAAAGAAACAGCAAACTCAGGAAACTACTAGCATTTACAGACAGCTGTAAAAATGGCCTTGCCTTTTTTCCCGTTACCGTCTGTGCTAGGTGTATTGTCTTGCTTGTCAGGAGGGTGTAGATCAGTAGAAAGCTAGGCAAAGCAGACTGGCTAGTGCTGCATGATCTTAACTGTTCTGGAAAACAACTAGGATCAGTGCTCTTTGTGACTTGCAATAATCTCAGGATTTAAACTAATACATAACCGTCTGGTGGTGGGTCCCACAACTGTGTGTGTATGTGCGGATGTGTACATGATTTCACTTATATCTAACCATGCCACTTGACAGCTGGGGTGTGGGTGGCTTAAAGCCTTGGCCCATGATCCAAGCCCTTTAGCTTGCATAATGGTTTTAGATGACCCTTGAGATCCAGTATGCATGTTAAATACAGTACACGCACTGATTAAGTGCTAGTGTGAACAACACCATGCTAAGGTGAGCCTTAGTGACATTATGAAATTTGGTGCGACATCACCTAGCTAGCTCAGTTCAGCAGAGAATACATTTTGTCCTCTGATCTGGTGAGAAAGAACCTTCCTGCACAGCATCAGGAAGTGTGAACATTACAATGAACAATACTACAGGCAGCACTGAGTACAGAACAGTTTTTCCATAAATAATATGAACACCACAGAAACGGGACAAAATGTGCCTGTCCTCGGTACACGGCAACAGAAAAGGGTAATACAGAACTGTGTTGTAAAGACTGAGCAGAGCTAAGCTAACAGTGTGAGAAAACAAGAGCAGGCTAAGATAACAGGAAGGGAAAACAGCCATCTAATCCCAGGGCCAGACTCAAGCTGTGAGGGGTAAAAGGGCTTAGTTACGCAACTGGGGGCTGAGAGGATAGCGCACAACCAATATACTAGTTTTCTGTGTTCCTAAGAAAACTGAAAAGTAACAGGCTTATGACGATGTGACTGTGATTCAACCTGGCCTCCAAAAGTACTGCTAAATAAGGCTCGTTCAAGGATTTGACGCTTGCTAATATAAAACCCTTTCCTGGATACAGGCAGTCTTAAGAGTGGGGTGGCCTGGTTCATTCTCAGCCTGATGAATGCTTAACACCAGAGGGGATGTGTGTATGTTTAGAGGCTGCAGGCATCTCTGGAGTTTACTACATTGGTGTCGAATGTCTTTTCCCTGAAGACGGACCTCGTCCAAAACAATTAAACCATTTACCCTGACTCTTATGTGAGACAAGTGACCATAGAAACCTTTGTTTCTGTTTCATTATCTGCTGTATGTGTGGTTGAGGTGTGGGCTGGAGAAAGACACTTACCCGATTCCCTGCTAGGGGCTCGATTGTGTCGCAGAAAGAAGCGCACCTCTGCCCTGTGTTGTCCCCATTGTTGGAGCAGATCCAGCATCCTCTCCCTGTCACCTACGGCTCGCTCTGCAGATAGAATACATAATAACATATCAGCACTCAGGTGTGATGTAAAACATACCCATGAAGTCAATATTGAAATTCTAATTATATTAACTTTGGCACACCAATATAGGTCAAGTGTACATGCAAGGTTTGCTTCATTAAACCTGTCCAACCATATTCATTTCATCAGTGCAATCTGTATCTAGTTGCTTTTTGTGTGAAATGACTCAGGGAAAACAACTGCGATGCGTTGTCAATTACTGGGGCTGGTACGGAGCCAAAAGGGCTCCTCATCCATTAATCAGAGGTTTTCTTCCACCTGCTAAAGACCATTTCATTATTCAAATGGATTGACACATTACAGTCAAGTAGAGGTCAATGAAACTATTCAATTATAGTGGCATGATGGCCAAACAAATCATACCAACTGTAATATTTATGTTATTAATAGCTTTCCATCTAAATCTGATGCAAAATGTTATTGCTGTGTTCTCAAGGAGAGTCAGCAGCGATCTGTAGTGAACATTGGCTGCAGAATGAGAATCTTTCCAGCAGTTGGGAGCCTCTTTTCAGACTACTTGTGGAAGTACTCAAACATAATAATTGGCACTTCCTTCACTCTTATGGCAGCATCGCCATGGAAACAGCTACGAAGCCTGGCTCCTTGAGTTCTTATTCTGAATACCTCATGACTCTCAGATTGGTAAAATGGGAAAGGCAAGAAATCTAAACCCCCCGGGCCCCACCTGAGAGATGTGGGAGATGTCTGGGAGATTGTGTTTGTTACAGGGATTATGGGCTCTGCTTCATTTGCATTGCAGACCCAAAAGAGATAAGCCCTTCAAAAAGAAATCACCAAGCAGTTGACCACACAGCTAATCTCCATATATGGTCGACTTCCGAAAAGCAATTTCCGTCCAATTAAAGGAAGACAAACAATCTGCACACCAACTCCATTCCCTTGGGATGTAGCCATACTCCAAAACAGCATGTGACTAAAAATCTCATGTTCTTCATTGTGTATCGGATAAAGATGACACTGGGTGAACTGGCACCGTTACTCACCGGATCCACGCCACATCTCAGATAGGTGGCAGTCTGTCTCCCCCGCCTCCTTGCACAACTCCACCACATCCCGGCACAGCGTCTCCGGTGTAACGGGAACCTCAGTAAAATGTTGGTCATTGTTACTGAGGTATACTGTCAGGAACATCTGGGGACAGCAGGAGGGAGAAAGCCGGGCAGATTAGACAGAGAAGTTTGATAACACCACAAGATAGAGGGTCCCTGGTGGTCTCGGTAGAAGCAGAGGGGGGGGGGGGAATCTCTTTAACTGGTGTCTTATTTCCCTATGGTGCAGTGTGACATCGAGGAATAACAGTGTTTTCTGTTTTACCCCAGGCTGCATCACCGATTGATTTTAAAACTTATTTTGCCTTTGAATTCTTAACGACCATCGTGAGCCAGAGGGGCACTCGCCAACTGACTATTGACCAGATTATTATTAAAGTTGTACAAGAGTTTTTTAACCTCCTGTTGTGCTGTGGTTACACTACAAGGCGAAAACAGTTTTTATAGACTGATGTGATCTGAGTAGAACCTCTTGAACGCCATAAAATTGTCTCTTTCAGTTTTTCCTAGTTAATTGGACTGATGTTGTACATAAAAAATAATACATTTATTACAGCAATCTTAGAAGGCGGTACAAGATGTGGATTTTTTCTCTGTGTGTTTAACATTGTGCTGCTGCAGCTTTTACGTTAATCTGATGACATTCATTTCAGACTGCTGTGTTGAAAGTAATCCAGAAATATTATTAGGTCTTATTGCTGCCGGTACCTTTACGTAAAAGTGACCAGGGGGCTTGATCAGACACGAGAGAGACTTGTTAAATTGCCGTCAGAAGAACATAAAATGGAACATGTCTGAAAGGGGCAACAGATAACAGTATCTGTTTCCCAGTACGCATTCCTCTGTGTCAACAGAGGAATCAGAGGCCAGCTCCCAAAACTCCATTTCACCCTGTCCCATCTCACTGCTAACTAGTGCTGTCACCACTGTGAGAGATACACACATACACACATACACACACACACACACACTAAATACCCCTGACAAGCACTCTGGAGGGGCTGACTGAGGACTCTGGAGACGATGGATCTGTATGTCAGCGTCTGATTTACAGATGGCAGTGACTGGTTTAGGACTATCTAAAAAGAAATGGACTATCTCAACGAAGCTGCCACTGATAGAAGTGGAATGTGAAAGCCTTGAGCCAGTGTAGAAAAAAATAAATGCATTGAAACTGAGCAAACAAATTGAGATATCTAAAACTGTAAGCATTTTAAACGCTGGCATTCCAATCCCACTCCAAACTGAAACTATGCCAGCTACAGTGACGCAAACAAACATCTTAAAGAAATTCCAAAATCAATACTGTGAAGGACATTATCTTTATAATAGGCAGTGGGAAAGTAGAAAAGTAGTAGGCCTCTGTCAAACTAAAGGCAGGTCCATTTAAAGTTAACCTTCCGGGAATGAAAAATCCCCTCTAAAACACATAAATACTGACAGTAAACATGCCGTGCTGTGCAAACGTGCCTCTGTGTAATCATATAAGGATGTATGCTTAAGAAGCTTTTAGGGTTGTGCTGGAATATGCCCTCATCTGTAATCTGGTCACACGTTATGAGTGTGAGCTCTGATAAGGCCGTAATACCACCAATATTATAACACACTGTAGCTGTCCCAGAGCATGGCACAACTTGAACCTATTGAACCTTTCTGTTTTAGCTGCAAGTTCTGGCACAGTGTAATGTCTTCACTGGGACTTGAATAGAGCCACGGTAGAAAAGCAGCAGTGTAATTGTTAGAATAATTTCCACGTTAGACTGTCAGGTTTCTCTATTCGCAGCACGCTGCCGTAAATGGCTGTGCCTACGGGGGCCATGATGGGAACATCAGGTCAGCAGGGTCACAAGCACAAAGGGCTCAGGGGGGTGGGGCAGGAGAGCATATGGAGCAGCTGCAGCCGAGGTGCAGAAACAAAAGTATTTGAGTTTCTTTGTGGGGCTGACTGAGCAAAAGCACAACAGCTTGAAGATAAGTGGCTTTATCCCCCTTTTCTTCTTCATATGAAGCTTAATGAGTGAGTGGACGGGTGACAAGTTTCCTCTGAAAATCTCCATAGCAACGTACACAACAAGTTTGTTTTTTCCCGGTGATAAGGTGAAAGTGGCAGCAAGGGGCCGTCGTATGACTCAAGAGGACCTGATGCAACTGGTTTTGTTCCACAGCGATGTAAATGAAAGATCCCATCAATAGAGCAAATCAGCAATGAGTCATCCCTGTCAGTAATCTCCAGTACTGAAACCCGTAAACAGATATTGTCTCTGTGTTTGGCCCTTGCCCGTAGAAAGGACCTCACAGCTCTGTGGTGGAAGACCACACTGGAGAACATAGCCAAAACCAAGTCTGTTCCTTTCCTGTCTGCTAATCAGGATAGTTCATGTTTGTGGTATGTAGTTGAGAACTAAACTGGAATCAGTTGACATAATAAATGACACTGCCAGGTATTTAAAAGAAAACCATAACTGGTATCAATTTCATCATGAGGCTGCCACAACCCCCCCAGCTTTGTAGGACATTCAAAGACCCTGTTATTATTTGGAGAGTGAAAGAGAGACAACAGAGCGAGGGGAGTGGAAGGTGGAAGAGAGCAGGACTGAAAGACAGTGAGAAGACAGAAACACTGATGGGAGGGGAATGCTGGTAATACCTACGCTGATGGCCAATTCTCCTCAGCACCAAAGTTAATGATCCAGGGCCACAGCTACCCAGTCATAGCCTCGATCTGGATGAGTTAGCACTTTGCTGCTGACCTTCATCCACCTAATGCATGCGGTCACTGCGAGGCTATTGCACACATGTGCTACACATACATAATTAATTCAGCTAATCAGGATTTTCATACACCTTTGCATATTCATATTGCTTTGGGAACATTAGGATGAGGTACAATAGGGTTAGGTAATACATGATTTTTTTTTTTCCTATAACTATATTCATATTGAAGGATATTTTTACACTGTTTATCATGATAAACTATTTTTTTTATTAAACCTTGATTTAACCAGTAAGTATCCTGGATATTGTTTTCTGAATTTAACAGAACAGAAGGATGTCTGAAAATGAAAAGGTCCCGTTTGACCATTATTAGCAGACCAGTGTGTGTAAACTAGACGTCTTCACATGTAATTTTCATGCAAAAACAGATCCTGTGATACACAGTATATCAATATCAGAAACAGTCTTCTGAATATAGTTTACTCTATAATGCCCAGCCCTACTGTAGAGCATCAGCTAGCTTGGTTAAGAGGGAAAGAAGAATGCATTAAGTGTTCTACATAGACAGACAGGTGAGAAGAGCTCCCCCGACTCCCTGTTTTGACTTTCCCAGACAACTTGAGAGTTCATTAAATATTCATAGATACAACAGCCAGTAAAATGAAACAGCTCAATAATAACCTGAGAGGCTTATTCCAAACCAGACAAAACAGTAACCTAACAGCTTATCAGAAAGCATCACCTTAGGTAGACTTATATAACCAGGGAGCTGAGCGGTACCCATTTGGATTGCATATGACAACATCTGACTGAACTGTGCTACACTAGCCTTCTGCCTATCAGAGTGGATGACAGAAGCAACTGCTGACTTGCACTTCCTGCCTACCTGAGACAGGGCAAAGAGATCGCCCTGGGGAAGGAGAAAGGGACGAGCTGCCTCTGCTGCTGTGGTTCACTATTAAAATAATAGATTTCTAATTCCATCACAGCATCAGCTGTCTCCCAGGGTTTGGGACGGGAATGACAAATCAGAATTGCAAACTGACAATTACGGCTAGTGGAAAGAAATGCCAGCTTGAATACTGCAGCGTGCACTGTAGATATTTTAAAAGCAGAGCAGCTATAAGGCTAGGTCACTGGGGTTATATCTCAGGGATTAAGTTAATCCGCTATATAAAAATATAGCCTTTCAACAGACTACTGGCTCAGTATTACAATAGTAAGCTTAAATTCAATAGCCTGCAGCTAGGCTATATCCACTATGCCTTAAGTTTAAGAGAATATCCTTCTGTGTAACCAAGGCCTAGAAGTGTCCATTCTCATAAGCATATTCTATACTGTTCAGCACCTGGTTTGCAGTGTTTAAATCCTTAAAATGGGGTACTGTAGTGACTTTTTTTTGTAGAACAAAAAAACTACTCCATAATGAGGTTCAATGGCACATGCTGAAGAACATCTGTTCTAGACACAATAGCATAGATAGGAGCCTTAGAGATGAAAGGCTCAAACATCAATCCCTCAAACAAAAGACACTGTAATAAGAACACATCTAAGAGGAAGAGAGTAACAACTGCAGCTGGCAGCACATACTTGACCTGCCCTGTTAAAAAGAGCAGAGAGGGTGAGAAGGAGAGATGTGAAAACACAAGGAGTTATATACTATACAGCTGTTCTGGGTTACTGCATGGAGATGGGCTTCTTCATCAATAATTCTATTCTGTATTAAGTTAAATAAGCAGCAGTCCCTGTAGGGAGATGAAGGCCATTCTGCGATATACAGTATACTAGAGACATCAGCTATATAGCCGGGAGCCATTAAGATGCTGATTTGGGCACTTACCGCGTAAGCCACTGATTGCAGGCTTGAGGGGAACAGGCTTTTCAAGCCTCTCCAGTTGTTTAGACAGAGGACTCTGAGAAGACTTGAGCTTAAACATCAATGCTGTACCCACAGCCAATTACCGAAAAGGAATGCTGTGTTGGGGTGTGTGGGTGTATGTGGCACTCCCGCTGATCGCGCAGACAACGAACACATGCACAGGAGCGATAGAGTGGTTTACATAAACAGAGCAAACAGAACAAATTAGAAGAACGATTATTTTGATGTTACTTCAGATGTGCCTAGTAATATATCAATCCCTGTGTCCCACCTTGACAATCCACTCTCACCTTGTGGCCGTCAATTCTACTGCACACGTGTCTCAAGATCATTGTCCAAATGCAATTGGTCGCATATTGAGTTAAGAGTGCTCAAAACTGTCTGCCACTGCAGTTCCCCATTTCCAAGAATAGACAAATCACATGGGACTGTACTGTAATTGAATTACTCTGCAATATCAGGATAACTAGCAAATGAAAGCCCATCCC